GGGACCTGTGTCAGGGCAGATATCCGTCCGTTTACGTGGGCTTGTTTTAGGGAAGACGAGGGTAAGGAGGTGGGTGGAGACCCTGTTGTCGTTCTCCACTTAAATCTACCAGACCCCCAGTGTGTGGTGGTTTGAATTTTAGTCAGCCACATACTGGGACGGGACAGGACAGTTACCTCAGCCTCTCTGGTGACTCACAGAGGAGGGTCACTGTCACCAGTGGCCTACGTGCCCAATAACGTGTGTGTGTGTGTTCTCATCTATGAGAAACAAGGCTAGTCATACATGAATCATTACTAGGCCTATGCCTGACCCTGTACAGGTGTGTGTGTAATACTAGGCCCCGGGGTATACCACCGACATGCCATTCAGGCCATTCCTTATCGGGTTTGAAAGGTGAGTGGTGTGTTTGTCAAGCTCAAGTGTGTACAGTTGACCCCAACGTTTGGGAAAGATGAGTAAGGTCTGAGTTAGTCGGTATAGACGTACACAGATAATGTTCAGAGACGGGACAAGAATCTAGAATCAGGAGGGAAAGTTTGGGATTTTAACCACAACTGTCAGTCCAAGCATTTTTGAATCACTACCCTCCAAAACAGGTAATTTAATATTTTTTCTATGACTCAGATACTAAAAAAAAACTAAAAACATCTCGTACCGTACATCAACTAACTCCACCGCCAACAAAAACCCATGTATAACATCCTCCAAAGCAACTGTGTCCACTGACTGACAATAAAGAAAAGCACCATCGTCTTCAATCTCTCGGCTGATCAAACCCTTCTAGCTGCAAACCTCATTTTTCATCAGCTCAATTACTCAACAACTGTTTCTCTCTCTCTCCCTCCCTCCCCCTCGGTTGGAAGTGATCATTTGTTATTTTATTAAAGCTGATAACATCCCCTGCATTGTCTGCCAGGGCTCGCTGGAGAGCCGCCCCTACTGTTCTAGCCTCCAGCACTTCTCTCTATTATTGGTGCATTATTTCACGCATGCCATGCTTTTTTATCAAGCGCTTTTGAAGTAATGTTAATAGACTAGAAAATTGAGACATTTATTAAGTATGGGCCGTGTTTATGAAGAAATCCATAAAGTATGACAGGGAGGCGAGGTGAGATAAAAGCGGTTGTTTTAATAGATTATGGTGAAGGGGAGAGCCGTCAGGAGCGCTCATTTTTCATGGGACAATTTTTTGTTGTATTAGAAATGAAGTTAAACGTCCTAATTAATCTGTACTGTACATACTGTGTATCTGCCCTCCCTCATCACACACACACACACACACACACACACACACACACACACACACACACACACACACACACACACACACACACACACACACACACACTCACCCGTCTGACTAGGATAGATCCTTCTGGCCCCACTGAAGCTTTAGATGTCTTGCTTTTTACCTAATTACCGTCCTGTGGTAATTTAGGTGGATGTTGCCTCCACAGGCTGGCGAACGGGGCTGATGAGTTTTTGGGGAGGTGGGGGTGAGGGATGGATGATGGAAGAGAAATTCAGAGGGAGAACAACTTGCCATAAAACAGAAGCACTTAGCTTAATTTTGGCTATTGATCAAAAGCTAAACTTCCCCCCAGAAGTCTTCTCTTTTTCTCCCAACCTAAAACTCAGTCAGCCAGCCAACTCACCATAGAGCTCTATCTGCTCCCTAATCATCAGTCAGAGAACCCTCACATAGCGCTTCATCTTCACATTAGAGGACAGAATCCCTCCCTATGTTCTCTTCACACAGGCCTCTGTCTGGGAGGTTCTGCCTAACTTGACCTCTGAACTTCCCTAACAAGAGGGTCAGCCACAGCTCAGCTCATTGTTTTATCGCATTTAGCCTCCCTTAAGAAGATTATTCAAATTCTAATGCCCGCCGCGCTTCCGCTCCTCCCTTTGACGCTAATTGGTAACGTCAGATCCACTTTCCCCTTCGCTTCCGAGTCCACTTTGACAATTTCCAAAATCCAATGCAAATCCTATTGCGGGCTCGTGAGAGGCTTCCACAATATTGACTGTCACTCACAATTAGGGGAGTGAAGGAAGGGTGAGCGGTGAGCAGAGCGTTGACCTCGCAACCTGAGGCTAACCCTGCTAGCTCCCCAAATGCTCTTCTACAATTTCATCAGTGAATATCATTACCCCACCAATTGTCCCATGGGTGCTCCATTTACCTTAACACAAGAAAGAGGATATGTTTTAACAACCATTCATCTGATTAGATCTGGCACTACTGTGTTTGTGGCTGTAATGCAGCTCCAAAGAGATTGTGATTGTGGGGGAATAGAATGGGAAGCATTAAATCAAATAGGTGTGAATAAAATCACCCATTTGGGACTCCTGCTGTTTACCAGCATGCTGGTTAATGAAGGGTCAATATTCTCAGTCTGGCAACCCGCAAGCCTAATCATCTGTTATGAGTACAAATTGTTTTTTCTTTACAAAGACCTGGATGCTACAGAATATCAGACTTTTTTTCTTATTATTATGATAATGAAAAATGTGGTTGTGGAATCTGAGTGATACTGAGGGACTTGATTCAACAACTGGGCGAAAATGCAGTAAAATCTGTTTTTATTACAATTTTTATTAGAGTTTTCTTGGGATAACTTGGTGGTTGTTGTAAATAGCATGGGTGACTTCGAAAGCTGAAACCATAGACATTTTACATTTTTTGTTAAAGCTGGAACGACTCTTTTTTTTCCACCAGTGATTGATGTGATTGAACAGGGTCATTTTTGATAATTAAATTATGCAAATAATGTAGACAAAACACATGTCTGGAGAGAATTCACATTAAATCACAGATAAACATCAAAATACCAAAACAAGAACAAATTGGTTGGAAGAGGGACTCTGATCTCTGGTATTGTATCTTAAGGCAGAGCAGTGACCACAATCAAATGCGTCACCCCTGTAGAAAACCCTCATGAACCATATCACTGCTATTATTATGTTAAACATGACCTCCAAGCAGAAACGAATCAAGTGTGTAACTGATAGAACAACAAACACATAAACAAACCCAAAATTAAATTATTGTCCCTTTTTTGTAAGCCTCCCGGTTGATTTCACCTTAACGATGGTAACAAAAACACGCCCCAAGGGCCTGAGGCGACGACATCATAAAGGTTAACGTATTCTGTACATCATCAGGGCAGAGAGGGATCTGTCAGATTCCGGACGACATCAACAGTTAGTCGGGAGAGAGGTGGAGCAGACATACAGACAGACAGAGCATTAAGGTTCAACGTCTATCACACGCCACGCCAAGCCTTCCCCTGGTCTGCCACCAGTCCTACTCCCAGTCCCAGTCAGATCCGGCATGCCCAGTGTACCAGGCCTGTCAGGAGCCATGTGCTGTCCCTCACTCTGGCCACTTCTCTGTTCTACCATATTCAGCCTACTGCCATTGTCAGTGCTGTTCCTCAAACTAGCCATTTCAGCCTAGTGCTTTATTTTGTGGGTCTCAACAGCCATATGAAAAAGCCATTTAACAACAGGCCTAAAAGCTCAAACAATAGACTTCACCAATCAAAGTATTGCCATAAAGCAAGACAATGCAATATTTTGTAAATTAAACTTGTAGAATGTCCCTGTGTGTGAAACCAGACTGAGGAAATAATTAAGACCACAGAATAAAGCATTTGAGCTATTCAAACCCCTTCCCCTCCTCCTCCCCCTTTCTTTAATAGGATTCCACTTTTAATCACTCATTATTTCCTAAATTGGGCGAGAGGGGGGTTGGTTTGGTCTCAGACTGCCTCTCCTTTGTCTGTCTATATTGGTGCTGGGACCCCGACGCTAGGCTATATCAACACGGCAACATTGGAAATCTCCGCGGCAGCAGATTCTCATTAAGATGTGAGTCGTGGGGGGCAACATATCTGCATGCTCACAGCGAGGGACTAATTGTATCAATATGTAAAATTCACCCCCTGAACACAGAGATGTTGTTCATATATTTTTGTTTTAATTGAACCAGTGTAGCATGGACGTAGAGTCAGCACAGTGAGAGACAAGATACTGTCTTTGGGATCATTCTATAGAGTTCAGTGCAAACAAATCAGTTGTAATTGTTTTCAGGGGAAATTGCTTTGGATTTTGAACAATCATGAATAATCACATTAAGCGAGACAAATGCTTATGTTGTTTAAAGGCGAAATGACATAATGTTTGTATATGCCACTAAGGGTCTACAGCAGGGGTAGGCAACTAGATTCAGCTGCGGGACGTTTTTTTGTCGGAGTGGATGGTCGGGGGGCCAGAACATATTATAATAATTTGTAAACTGCAAATTGACCACAACTAAGTCCAAAAAGAGATTGTATTTGAAAAGAACAATCATTTCATTCATTGATTACATCACAGATGTCTATTATTTTCCCGTGGGAATACTTGGGAACAGATTATCTAAGTTAAATTCATTTTTAGCTGAATTCCACCCCTTCCCCCCCAGGCACCATTGACACATCGGTAAGATATCCCCAACACTGAATGGTTCTATATCTCATCCATCCATCCATCCATCCATCCATCCATCCATACACACACACGTGTTCTCACTCGTCAGAGGATTTGGATAGGGATCAATGTCAGTGTGGATGAGATGGACACTTGCCTTGTTGACAGTAACTTGACTAGAGTAATCCCCAGTATAGACTGGGTAAACACACAGCACCAGCCGCCCATGTAACCACGGATACACTCACTTCCTGTGTTCTCTCCTGTTGAGCTGTGTCTGTGTGTTTAAACAATAAGAAAATACCTTCCATCCTCCAAACTTCACACGAACGCAGATGCAGATACACAAACAAACGTATACACACACACAAGTGCAGACAAATACACACTCACACAGCTTTAGATCCTAGTCGGATTTCAAAGGCTATGATGTCTTTGTTTCTAGTTCCTCGCCAGACTCAAACTACAAAGTTGTAGCTAGTTATACCGATCCCCATAATGATCAACCATTCATATCCATCTCAGTCTTTCAGTAGGAACGCTCTATGCACCACTATGCTCCTAGTAAGTCCCTAGAAACACAATCTAGCCACTTAGCCATCAGTCTCCCCCTCTCACCTCATGCTTCTTGTAAGTTCCCAGTATTAACAAAAGAGACACACATATATCTCCAACCCATTCACCCTACTACCTCCTTTCCATGTTTCTACTAAGTCCCTTGGAATCTAAAAGACAACCACATCTCCAACCCAGTCACCCAGCCATCCATCCCAACACCCTCCCCTCCTTCTCCACTCCCCTGGGGGTCTCTTACCATGAGGGCCTGGCTGTAGGGCCCGATGTTGCCGGGAACCCAGCGGGACAGGCTCTGGACGTGAAGGGCCTCTGCAGTGGAAGGTGCCCTCCTCCGGGTCAGTCGTGGAGCAGGCAGTCCATCTGGAGGAGCTGACCGGCAGGCAGAGGGGCCTGGACACACACCCCGGAGAGGTGGTGGGAGGAATGAAGAGGAGGGGAGGACATGAAGGAGGAGAGCCTGATGACATGATCTGTATACTCATCAAAAGTATACTGACAATGAAGGATTTTGTGAGAATATGTGAAAAGATATGCCTGCAAAACATTGAAAGGGGAACTGTCTCTGCTCTTTGGGTGAGGGGTCAGTCCAGGGTTGCTAAATAGTCTGTAATCTCTTCTCCTTATCCCGTCCTTCATCTGCACTGATCTAAGAACGCAGGATAGGTGTGTGTAGGTAATATGACGTAGGAGACAGGGATGGGAACCTGGCAGGGGGGTTGATACCGAAGTGGGTGGTGTAGACTTTGTTGATGTCCTCCATGTTCCTCACATACAGGTGAACCAGGACAATATGTTGCAGCTGCCAGCCTCTCCTCTCCAGCTCACCTACACAGGACCAAGTCACAGGTTACTGATACAGGCACAAATATCTAATTGTAGGGAGAATACAAACTAGGTTGCTAAAAGATTGTGGTGACACTTGGGACCATACTGAATGCACATTGAACTATGCTTACCTTGACATACGGTGGGGTCCAGAATGATTGGATCACTTGATACATTTGAATAAATAACAGAAATACTGTGCTATATTTAACGCTCTATTTTTTGTTTACAAAATTATATTACTTTACACCAATACTTTGGGTGTACGTGGCCAAAGAGCTCTATTTTCATGTCATCTGACCATTGCACCGCCTGGAGTTTGCTAAACGGCATTGGAACTTGAATTGGAACCGGTGCTATGGTCCGTTGACACGAAAATAGAGCTCTTTGGCCACACAAACACCAGTGGTAGGTTTGGCCTTCGAAAGAACAATGCATATGCAGAAAATACCTCATCCCTACTGTAAAATATATTTGATGTTACGGGGCTATTTTGCTTCCACTGGTCCAAGTTCTCTTGTTAAAGTCAACAGCATCATAAACTTTACCAAGTACCAGGCCATTTTTGTCAAAAACCTGCTTGCCTCTGCCAGGAGGCTGAGACTTGGCCGCAAGTGGATCTTTCAGCAAGACAATAACCCCAAGCACACGTCAAAATCCCAAGCACACATTAATTGATCACAAAATCAACATTTGCAATGGCCATCTCAGTCTCCGGACTTGAACCCCATTGAAAACCTGTGGTTTGAATTGAAGAGGGTGGTCCATAAACGCAGAGAAAGGATATGATGGTCTAAGATCCCTCCCAATGTGTTTTCCAATCTCATAAATCATTTTAGAAAAAGTCTCAGCGTCATTATCCTCGCAAGGGGAGGATGCCAGAGTATTGAAAACAGGGGATCCAATAATTTTGACCCCTATCTAATTTTGACCAGTGGATATTTTGAAATGACTTGTTAAACAAAATATATTTCACTGAGCAATTGTATTAGTATAAAATAATATATATTTTTTAAATGTAGCATACAATATAGCTTGGTAATTGTATTATTTATTTTATACAGTATTTTTTTCTAATCTTTATCAAGGGATCCAATAATTCCTGACCCCACCGTAGTTCTGAGTCATGTTTTTTCAGCCCTTGCTTTGTACATAGCTCAGCTCCCTTGAAGAGCATCGGGAAGGGAAGACGGGGGGCTTGAAGCAAGGCCTTTCTCCCCCTTATAATATGATAGGGCATCAAGTTTGTTTTTCCTTTGCCAACGCTGGCATCTCAGAGTACTTCACACACTTCGCCCTCATACAAAGAGGTTCTCCATTAAATATTAACTCCTTTAATATCGTATCTGTGCTATGAAGGCTGTTCAGCCGCGTACCACGATCACCATTAAATATGCTTTTCATCTTTCTCTTTAGAAAAAAATGAACAAAATAAAAACATAAGATGCTCTGTTAAAGCGTGCACTTTTAGAAAAAGTTCTGCGGGGCGAAAAAGAGCTAGCCCACACAGCATGAGTGTGTGAGAGGGAGTTTGTGTTCATGCGTTTGAAGAGGAGCGGGATGCACTCCGCTCTGGGTTAATTTGAAGTGTCTTGTCCTTGTGTGGTGCGCTTGCTATCCCGTCCCTGTGATGGAAAAGCAGCTGACATGTTGGCCTCCTTCACACTTTCCCTCCCAAACTTAAAAAGAGCGTTTGTGAATTAGGAGCTGTGTTTTTGCTCGGGCCCTGCCTGCCACGCCTTTTCAAGTGCATTTTGCTAACACAACAAGAGAAGCGTCCTGGGAACAAAGGAATATTCCCTTTCCGTTTTTTTTTTAAATTGTCTGGTTTGAGGGCTAAACCTTGCAAAGGGGCTACAGAGTGCCGTCAGCCACTCCAGTACTCCTAAGCACCAACCACTTTTTATATTCTATATTCCTGATATCACCCCTGGTAAAAGTAGTTCTGAACTGTCAGATCATGTAAAAGCTCTACATTTTGATTTGATAAAAGCAAATATTTAGTTTAAGTTTGTGACTTGTCACTTCTACATTTTCTGAGAAGCTAAATCATTTTCAAGTAGCCTCATGTTTCTTGGAAGTGGAAAGTTAAGCGTGTTTTGAACTTCTGATGCTCTAGTTTGCAGAATCAGTCGGAAAGTATTCGGATCCCTTTACTTTTTCCACATTTTGTTACGTTACAGCCTTATTTTAAAATTGATTAAATTGTTTTTTCCCCTCAGCAATCTACACACAATACCCCATAATATATAGGGCGGCAGGTAGCTTAGTGGTTAAGAGCGTTGTGCCAGTAACCGAAAGGTCGCTGGTTCTAATCCCCGAGCCGACTAGGTGAAAAAACTGTCTGTGCCCTTGAGCAAGGCACTTAACCCTAATTGCTCCTGTAAGTCGCTCTGGATAAGAGCGTCTGCTAAATGACCAATTTATTTTTTATTTTATTTATAATGACAAAGCAAAAACAGGTGTTTTCATTTTTTTGCAAATGTATAAATAAATAAAAACGTTAATATCCTATTTACATAAGTATTCAGACCCTTTACTCAGTACTTTGTTGAAGCACCTTTGGCAGCGATTACAACATTGATTATTTTAATAACATATTGGGTATGACGCTACAAGCTTGGCACACCTGTATTTGGGGAGTTTCTCCCATTCTTTTCTGCAGATCCTCTCAAGCTCTGTCAGGTTGGTTGGGGAGCGTTGCTGCACAGCTATTTTCAGGTCTCTCCAGAGTCTCTCAAGTCCGGGCTCTGGCTGGGCCACTCAAGGACATTCAGAGACTTGTCCCAAAGCCAGTCCTGCGTTGTGTTGGCTGTTTGCTTAGGGTCATTGTCTTGTTGGATGGTGAACCGTCGCCCCAGTCTGCGGTCCTGAGCGCTCTGGAGCAGGTTTTCATCAAGGATCTCTCTGTACTTTGCGCCGTTCATCTTTGCCTCGATCCTGACTAGTCTCCCAGTCCCTGCATGATGCTGCCAACACCATGCTTCACCGTAGGGATGGTGACAAGTTTCCTCCAGACGTGACGCTTGGCATTCAGGTCAAAGAGTTCAATCTTGGTTTCATCAGACCAGAGAATCTTGTTTCTTTAGCTGCCTTTTGGCAAACTCCAAGCGGGCTGTCATGTGCCTTTTACTGAGGAGAGGCTTCCGTCTGGCTACTCTACCATAAAGGCCTGATTGGTGGAGTGCTGCAGAGATGGTTGTCCTTCTGGAAGTTTCTCCCATCTCCACAGAGGAACTCTAGAGCTCTGTCAGAGTGACCATCGGGTTCTTGGTCACCTCCCTGACCAAGGCCCTTCTCCCCCGATTGCTCAGTTTGGCCGGGCAGCCAGCTCTAGGAAGAGTCTTGGTGGTTCCAAACTTCTTCCATTTAAGAATGATGGAGGCCACTGTGTTCTTGGCGACCTTCAATGCTGCAGAAAGTTTTATGTACCCTTCCCCAGATCTGTGCCTCGACACAATCCTGTCTCGGAGCTCTAGGGACAATTCCTTCGACCTCATGGCTTGGTTTTTTCTCTGACATGCACTGTCAACTGTGGGACCTTATATAGACAGGTGTGTGCCTTTCCAAATCATGTCCAATCAATTGAATTTACCACAGGTGGACTCCAATGAAGTTGTAGAAACATCTCAAAGATGATCAATGGAAACAGCATGCACCTGAGCTCAATGTTGAGCCTCATAGCAAAGGGTCTGAATACTAATGTAAATAAGGTATTTCTGTTCTTTATTTTTAATACATTTGCAAAAATATCTAAAACACTGTTTTCACTTTGTCATTATGGGGTATTATGTGTAGATTGCTGAGGATTTTTAAAAATGTAATCCATTTTAGAATGTTTTATTTAACCTTTATTTAACTAGGCAAGTCAGTTAAGAACAAATTCTTATTTACAATGACACCGGCCAAACCCGGACGACGCTGGGCCAATTGTGCGCCGCCCTATGGGACTCCCAATCACGGCCGGTAGTGATACAGCCTGGAATCGAACCAGGGGGTCTGTAGTGACGCCTCAAGCACTGAGATGCAGTGCCTTAGACCGCTGCGCCACTCGGGAGCCCACAGAATAAGGCTGTAACGTAACAAAATGTGAAAAAAGTAAAGGGGTCTGAATACTTTCCGAAGGCACTGTACTTCCCAACTCTTTTGCTGTGCTGAACTGTATCTTGCAGCAGATTGAATGCTGTAGTGGTCTGACTCTGGATCCCTGGGTCTGGGCTGTGAAGCCCGGTGATACCTGAGATCCACTGGTAGCCCCTGGAGCTTCTAGGTAAGCAGGACGGGGGGGTCTGGAGGGACAGATACCAGACCAGGGGGAGGTTTGATAGAGGCCTGCAACTTGTGGAATTATTGCTTTTCTGATATGATGACTATTTTGTAATATGTATATAACATCTAAGTAATAATTCATTCAAAACATGGAATTCCTAAACAGTCATAAATATGTTCTTAGAATGACAGCTCGTCAAACTATCACTCAAAAATGCTATAATCATGACACTGACCACATTACACAGATACAGTGCAGGCACACATGTCACACACACACTCACACTCACACACACACACACAAGCGCCTCACCACAGCCCCAATGACAACTAAGGTCGCCATTTGATGTAAATTCTTCCTGGATGTCTTTAGCTTGATCAGCATATTCTGCCTCCTCAGGCATCTTGTCAATGGCGCTCTAGCAAGGACAACTACCTAGGGGCAAAGCGATCGCCACCGCGCCCTGCAATAAAACACCAGCAGGGAATACATCAAGCCAAAACCAGCCCAAAACCACACACAACCAGCACAAAATAACCAAACAGAGTGCAATTCATTTTTCAATAATCCACCACTACGCAGATGTAACGTAGATGCTGGCAGTCGAGAAGCAGGTGCAGGTGGTAAGTTTAATATAACAAAGAACATGGAACGATACAACATAGGAGTAGCGTCTTGACATGAAACACAGAAACAATACAGCCTTGGGAAAGAACATAAGGGAGTGCCAGATAAAGGGGAGGTAATGAGTGAGGTAATGGAGTCCAGGTGTGCCTCATGATGAAGCGCAGGTGCGCGTAAATTTTGATGCCAGGTGCGCGTAATGATGGTTACCAGGACCGGTGGTTCGTAAACCGGTGACATCGAACGCCGGAGGGGAAGGAGCGGGAGTAGACGTGACAGCAGACTAGGCTATGCGTCTGCTAAATGACGTAAATGTAATGTAGTGTAAATGCTATGCTTGTCACTCTTTTCTGACGAAGGCCTAGACACAAATACCATCAAGGTGAATGAATATGAAACAACATGCAAACATATTCATGAATTACACCAAGCAGGGAGGGGCGACAGGCGGTGGTATTTTCTGATACTGTAAATTCAATCATGCTGGCTGTCACTCACAACTCTTCTTGACTCCTAGCTTTGCTTTGACATGCTTTGGATTTCACCACACTATTGTTTTATTCATCTGTTTATTTAGAACTTCGCCTACATACCCTCTTCTTTAAAAAAAAATCATTAGCATTCTCAAAAGAGTACATATTACCTGCCAAATTCCACCAGGTCGTCATACATTTAAATACATATTTCCAAATGTCTTAACAAATTCCCACCCCCCCTCTTCCTTCTCACTCCCCACCCCCCTGCTGTCAGCAGCATTTGGCCATATGATAATCAAATTAATTATACTCCAGCCCCTCTCGGTTGCTGCCTTCACAGGAAGGGAAAAACTGAGGGGCAAATGATGGAGGGCCTTGATTCCCCCCGTGTTGCCCACCACCCACTCCTCTAGTCCTCTAGTGCTGGTGTCAGGGCCGATCTGTCACCCTGATGGAAAGAGCTTTGGACTGCAGCATGAGGCAGGTTTTCCTCTCCCCTGGATCCCAGGCCCAGGGAATCTCCCTGCTCTGCTCCTCCCCCACCCAGCAACCTAGAGGGGCTGTGGGGATGGGTGAGTGTGTATGGGTGGAAGGGGTGTGTGTATGGGGGTCGAAAATACATAGCTGTAGGCATGGAGGATGAAAGCTGGAGGGTCACCGGGGTTGGAGGTTATGGTTTCTGTCCATAATAACAACCCCAACCCCTGCCTCTGTCCCTGAAGCACCGCAATAGGCTACCTCCCCGATACACACAAACACACACACACACAAACCCACCCCTGACCCCTACACAAACGCACACTCTGAAACCCCTTTTCTCTCTCACACACACACACACACACACGCAGAGCCTCTTCATCATGGACTGGACCTACTGTAGATCTCTTTCACTCTTCTTCACTCTCTTCCTCTTATCCCAGTGTCTCTAACCATTTCTAATCCTCAATTATCTACTGGTTTTCTTTATCACAAACACTATGCACAGCAGAGTAACTGACCCAGATGCTGTTGTTTTATTCAGCTTCACGTTGTCTCACTGGTTGGGCCCATAGAAACGCATTAAATAACACATTCATAAATGGCAAAAAAAGACAAAGTCTCTTGTCCTATATCTAGGATATACAGTGCATTCGGAAAGTATTCAGACCCCTTGACTTTTTCCACATTTTGTTATGTTACAGCCTTATTCTAAAATGGATTAAATTCATTTCCCTCATCAATCTACACACAATACCCCATAATGACAAAGCAAAAACTGGTTTTTATTTTTTTGGGCATATTTATTTAAAATAAAAAAGGTAAATATACCATTTACATAATTATTCAGACCCTTTACTCAATACTTTGTTGAAGCACCTTTGGCAGCAATTACAACATTGAGTCTTCTTGGGTATGACGCTACAAGCTTGGCACACCTGTATTTGGGGAGTTTCTCAGTTTCTTCTCTGCAGATCGTCTCAAACTCTATCAGGTTGGATGGGGAGCGTCACTGCACAGCTATTTTCAGGTCTCTCCAGAGATGTTAGATCGGGTTCAAGTCCGGGCTCTGGTTGGGCCACTCAAGGACATTCAGAGACTTGTCCTGAAGCCACTCCTGCATTGTCTTGGCTGTGTGCTTAGGGTCATTATCCTGGCTGTGTGCTTAGGGTCATTGTCCTGTTGGAAGGTGAACTGTCGCCCCAGTCTGTGGTCCTGAGTGCTCTGGAGCAGGTTTTCATCAAGGATCTCACTGTACTTTGCTCCGTTCAACTTTCCCTCGATCCTGACTAGTCTCCCAGTCCCTGCCACTGAAAAACATCTCCACAGCATGATGCTGCCACCACCATGCTTCACCGTAGGGATGGTGCCAGGTTTCCTCCAGACGTGATGCTTGGCATTCAGGCCAAAGAGTTCAATCTTGGTTTCTTCAGGCCAGATAATCTTGTTTCTCATGGTCTGAGTCTTTAGGTGCCTTTTGGCATACTCCAAGCAGGCTGTCATGTGCCTTTTACTGAGGAGCGGCTTCCGTCTGGCCACTCTACCATAAAGACCTGATTGGTGGAGTGCTGCAGAGATGGTTGTCCTTCTGGAAGGTTCTCCCATCTCCACAGAGGAACTCTGGAGCTCTGTCAGAGTGACCATCGGGTTCTTGTTCACCTCCCTGACCAAGGCCCTTCTCCCCCGATTGCTCAGTTTGGCAGGGTGGCCAGCTCTAGGAAGAGTCTTGGTAGTTCCAAACTTCTTCCATTTAAGAATGATGGAGGCCACTGTGTTCTTGGGGTCCTTCAATGTTTCAGAAATGTTTTGCTACCCTTCCCCAGATCTGTGCCTCGACACAATCCTGTGTCTGAGCTCTACGGACAATTCCTTCGACATCATGGCTTGGTTTTTGCTCTGACATGCACTGTCAACTGTGGGACCTTATATAGACAGGTGTGGGCCTTTCCAAATCATGTCAAATCAATTGAATTTACCATAGGTGGACTCCAATCAAGTTGTAGAGACATCTCAAGAATGATCAATGGAAACAGGATGTACCTGAGCTCAATTTCGAGTCTCATAGTAAAGGGTCTGAATACTTATGCAAATAAGGTATTTCTGTTTTTAAATTGTAATACATTTGCTAACATTTCAAAAAACCTGTTTTCGCTTCGTCATTATGGGGTATTGTGTGTAGATTGATGAGGGGGAAAAAATATTTTTTCCATTTTAGAATAAGGCTGTAACGTAATAAAGTGTGGAAAAGGTCAAGGGGTCTGAATACTTTCCGAATGCACTGTATAAGAATGCTAAGGATTTTAAATGATTTTTTTTTACACATATTTAATCTCTAGTTTAAACTGATGGATTTTGATGGGGATTATGTTACTTAGATTGACACATGGGTGCGTCAATAAACTTTTAAGGATTAAGAGTCAATCTGATGCTCTGACTGTGGGGCCTGGATAATCTCTCTTCTCTCACTTTGATGATAGGAAACAGGTAGTTTGACCACATGTCCCGGATTGTGCAGGACAGTCCCGCATTTTGGTCCTTTGTCCCACGTCCCGCAACCAAACAATCATGTCCCGCATTTTATCAACAAATTCAAACACCACTAATTTAGAAAAAAAGGTTGATTTGTTCTGTATTTCAGTCAGACATTCCAACCTGTCTCTTGCAGTCACGTTGCGCTTATGAAAATAAACACTTCTCCAATCGTTTCTGAGATCTGATATTCTGCGCAGTGCAAGATGAGACCTAGGCCAATGTCATAGGCCTATCGTCAACCAATCACATTTCTCAAATCCTTTCGGGCTAAATTCCAGCTAAACTTGGAGAGGACAGTTGCCTAACTCCTTACAAAGAGCGTGATTCTGACGAAGCGCTACAAAAGTAGGTAAATAGCCATATTAGACTGAAAGATATAAGGTATTTCCGTCAAACTTGTGAGGCTCTCGATGCTCATTAGTTGCTCATTCAACATATTTGCTGCTACTTCACTCAATCCCATTTGAACAGTTTCCCTTCCTAACTGTTTTACCTTTCCTGAGACCAACCAGAAATGTTTCCTTGGCCAAATATTCCCTGATTTTCATAAAACGGCCACGTGTTCTCTCGTTTCTGCATCACCAAATGTTGCGCGAGGCAAAATAATATAGGCTATGTGCACTTCAATTAGCTCATTCGATGCAGCGGGAGTAGGGATGTAGTGCTGCCCGAGCGAGCTCTGCCACTTCTCACAATGGTGCACGATTAGTAAAGTTAGATCAAAGTTGAATCAATGTCTTGGAAGATCACATAATGATTAATTAGTATTCTACATAACAGAACCAAATATAATAGAATAATATAATGTTACTGTTTTCTTATGATTTTAGGGTGGTTAGCTGAATAGGCAAAAAAATATCTTAGTTGCCAGAACTCAACTGTCACGCCCTGGCTCTGGGGACTCTTTATGTTGAGCCAGGGTGTGTAGGTTGCATTGTTTAGTTTTCTATGTTTGTGTTCTAGATCGTTTAGATCTATGTTGGCCAGGGTGGTTCCCAATCAGAGGCAGCTGTAGCTTGTTGTCTCTGATTGGGAACCATACTTAGGCAGCCTGCGGGCATGTTACTTTGTGGGATCTTGATCCGTAAGGTTTGTTGTTTAACATAGGACTTCACGTATCGCTTGTTTTGTTGTTTTGGTTCGTGTTGTACATTTAATAAAGTATGTACGCATATCACGCTGCGCCTTGGTCCGTTGCTTACGACGATCGTGACAGAAGATCCCACCTCGACTGGATCAAGCAGCGTGACGAGGAGAGAGGATGGACCTGGGAGGAGATGAGTGAGAGTCTGGCAAGAGGGATGGAGGCCATGAGCACGGGGGAGAGACAAGCCCCAAAAATTTTTAGGGAGGGAGCTCACGCCGTGGACGACGAGGCAGCAGGAGGCCGCGATAGAGCGGTTCAGCCGGTTAGCAGAGGAAGCCGCTAGGTTACTGGGGCCACTGGTCACGAGGGAGAAGGAGAGTGTGGAGGCACGGCGAGAGGAACTAGTTAGGCAGCAGAGGGAGCGGAGGTTTATGAGGAAACCCAGTCCCGCTCCTCGCACCAAGCAAGTGGTGTGTGTCACCAGTCCGGTCCGGCCCGTTCCTGATTCCCGCACAAGGCCAGTGGTGTGTGTTCCCAGTATGGTCAGGCCCGTTCCTGCTCCCCGCACCAAGCCAGTGGTGCGCGTCGCCAGCCCGGTCCGGCCTGTTCCTGCTCCCCGCACCAAGCCAATGGTGTGCGTTGTCAGCCCGGTCCGGCCCGTTCCTGCTCCCCGCACCAAGCCAGTGGTGCGCGTCGCCAGCCCGGTCCGGCCTGTTCCTGCTCCCAGCACCAAGCCAATGGTGCGCGTCGTCAGCCCGGTCCGGCCCGTTCCTGCTCCCCGCACCAAGCCAGTGGTGCGCGTCGTCAGCCCGGTCCGGCCCGTTCCGGCTCCCCGCACCAAGCCAGTGGCGCGCGTCGTCAGTCCGGCTCGTTCCTGCTCCCCGCACCAAGCCAGTGGTGCGCGTCGTCAGCCCGGTCCGGCCCGTTCCTGCTCCCCGCACCAAGCCAGTGGTGCGCGTCGTCAGTCCGGCACGGTCCGTGCCTGTTCCCAGGCACCGGTCAGCTGCTCCACGCCGGAGCCAGAGCAATCCGCTCCACCGGTGTTCAGTCCAGCTCTGGCCAGCGGGGCCAGACCAGACCAGGGGCGCAACGGGGGGGTAGAGAGAGTGTGGTGGTCACGCCCGGAGCCGGATCCGCCTCCGAGGCGGAATGCCCACCCGGCCCCTACCCTGTTGTGTTGGTGTGGCGCGGTTGCAGTCCGCGCCTTTGGGGGGGGGGGGGGGGTACTGTCACGCCCTGGCTCTGGGGACTCTTTATGTTGAGCCAGGGTGTGTAGGTTGCATTGTTTAGTTTTCTATGTTTGTGTTCTAGATCGTTTAGATCTATGTTGGCCAGGGTGGTTCCCAATCAGAGGCAGCTGTAGCTTGTTGTCTCTGATTGGGAACCATACTTAGGCAGCCTGCGGGCATGTTACTTTGTGGGATCTTGATCCGTAAGGTTTGTTGTTTAACCTAGGACTTCACGTATCGTTTGTTTTGTTGTTTTGGTTCGTGTTGTACATTTAATAAAGTATGTACGCATGCTGCGCCTTGGTCCGTTGCTTACGACGATCGTGACATCAACAGTGTGAGCCACTAGGCAGAATTTGCTTGTATTTAAACAAAATACAGGAAGGCTAATAGTTTGTTAACACCATCTGCTCATGAAAAAGTAATTGAAGAAGATCTAAATGTATACTCCCATGAAACGGATTGAGATCAAATGATTGGCATGCAGATGCAGTTTGGGCGTTTCACTGGTAAAACGTGACAAATGTCGTAGAAATATTTGACTCAAATGTAGTCAACTCAAAAATATCTCTCAAGAAACTGGAGCTTGTGAATCCAAAAATTAGACTTCATTGCATAATAAAGCCGAGCTTGCTCCATGGAGCAACTGTCTCTCTTTGGCTCAGAGATCTCTTTTATACACACACAAATGCACAGTCATGTTTACATAGCATACAAAGCTACTCCCCTTAAGATAACTGATTAACATCTTTAACTGCCACGCCACTATTATCTTTCAAAGTCCAATAACACATGTTGCTTACTCCAAAAGGCCATGGGCGCTTTTCCATATGAGGCCTCTTCCCCTTATCTCATTATATTGGTGGCGTGGCTCAGACACTTTTAAAAATAATATACATACATTCATTAAAGCATGTTTACACACTGTATTTGGCTATATTCCTTATTTAGACATGCATCTGGATTACAAAATGTCAATCATGTTTATTATAGTTTACCTTTGGCATCTCCCTACATTTGCCTTAATGATACATACAATATTTCTATAAGAACGAGCCAACATTTTGTATTCATGTAGGCTACACGGTCCCACGAATGTCCCGCAAAATCATCCTGTTGTCCCGCATTTGGGTATTTTAAATGTGGTCACCCTAGAAGCAGAGGATTATCCCTCGTCCTACAGAGCTCCACCCTCCTCCACCTCTTTTTACTCACTCCCATCGCCTCCCCACATCACCCCCAACATCCTCCATCCCCCCACCCAGTCCGCTTATCCAGCTACCTGAATCCTAAGTGCATTAATTTGAGCAGACATGTTTATTAAGCCAGGCCTAGTTTCAGGCAGTAGTGAATATTGCAGACATCAAAGTAGAGCTAGACGAGAGAGGGATGGAGAAAGGGAGAGATGGAGAGAGGGAGACCCTCTGGAGGCTTATCTCTCCCCTGCCCCACAGTGCTTTCCCTCCTTTTTTTTTCTATAAGCAAACGTATCACGCATCAAAAAAGCAACTATCAGGGGATGTTCTGTACTATTTGTTCTGTTTACTGAATGAATTCTGTATCATGGTGTAGAAGTGTGATTCATTTTGTTAATATCCTTAATAATATAAAGTAAAACATTGAATTGCATTAACAACTTGAACTGAAACCCCTAAACACTGACACAAAAATAGCCTAACTCTGACACAAAAATAGCCTAACTGACACAAAAATAGCCTAACTGACACAAAATAGCCTAACTGACACAAAAATAGCCTAACTCTGACACAAAAATAGCCTAACTCTGCAAAAGCAAGACTTATATTCTCTTTGTCCTCTGTGTGCATCTTGCTGAAGTGCATGTAGCCAAACGGAGCAAATGCGTCTGCAGAGTGGAATCACTGTCTCCATAGCATCACTGCAGAAAAATTTACAAACTTTTATATATTTCATACAACAGCACATCTTGTCTGACGCAAGAAAAGTGTACATTCATTTCAAGAAAGATAGCCTTACAACGTTCAATTCTGGACTTACATAACAAGTCTCCTCTTGAATAGAGGACAGTCAAGAGTAAACGCCTCTTATCTGCCCCCTTCTCCATACTTCTGAGAGAGCTGTCCAACAAAAACAAAACAATTCATGTTTATAATCATATAATTTTAAGATCCATCCTAAAAGCCATCACTTTACTCTAAATCAAATAATGTATCTTTGAAACACTAGCCAAAACATTACTGTTGGTCATATATTGAGTCATTAGATTAAAATCAATGATGCATAGTAAGCAGTCAAAGTTTGAATGAGGTCAGCCTTTAGTGAGTTCATTCAGGGTGACAGAAGTGTACAACAAAGGCAGGTCCAGCCTGGTGAGGTAACGCTCTGACCTGAGTTAGATAGGGCTCCATGTCAGCCAGAGGTTTCCCCAAGTGTTTCTCAGGGTCCAGCCCTGCCAAACACACACACACACACACACACACACACACACAGGAGAAGAGAGAGAGCAGGAGGCCTGATCAGGGACAGAGAACAGAGATTGAAGATGACAGGCAAAGAGGCTTTACGGGCAGACACACGTAAACCTGCACCCTGGATCTATTTGACTTTGCAAGTAATGTACACAGATCTCTCCGGGTAAGGGTAACAGCTTTCAGTCGTAGCGTGGCAAAACAAGAGAAGCACCCCTGGTCTGGTTTTCTTTGAGAACCTAAACTCTGAGAGAGAGAGAGAGAGAGAGAGAGAGAGAGAGAGAGAGAGAGAGAGAGAGAGAGAGAGAGAGAGAGAGAGAGAGAGAGAGAGAGAGAGAAAAGAGAGAGAAAAGAGAGAGAGAGAGAGAGAGAGAGAGAGAGAGAGATTCTGTTTATTTGCCTTTCCCCTCTCCTTCCCCTTAAACGGTGCATGGAAGTGACTCACAGGCCCTCAGCTGTGTGGGGCAGCAGAGAGAAAAACAGGAGGATAGGAAGAAGATGGGTACTGTACGTCTGTGTAGCCAGTAGCCAGAATTCAGTACCCACCAGTGCCACATTCCAATAACACCTTTACCTCTTACTTCAGTCTCTTCATCCTCATGTTATCTCAGATCAAAGCTTAGAGAGCAATAAGACCTCACCTTAGAAAGTACAGTGAGGGAAAAAAGTATTTGATCCCCTGCTGATTTTGTAAGTTTGCCCACTGACAAAGACATGATCAGTCTATCATTTTAATTGTAGGTTTATTTGAACAGTGAGAGACAGAATAACAACAAAAAAATCCAGAAAAACACATGTCAAAAATGTTATAAATTGATTTGCATTTTAATGAGGGAAATAAGTATTTGACCCCTCTGCAAAACATGACTTAGTACTTGGTGGCAAAACCCTTGTTGGCAATCACAGAGGTCAGACGTTTCTTGTATTTGGCCACCAGGTTTGCACACATCTCAGGAGGGTTTTTGTTCCACTCCTCTTTGCAGATCTTCTCCAAGTCATTAAGGTTTTGAGGCTGACGTTTAGCAACTCGAACCTTCAGCTCCCTCCACAGATTTTCTATGGGATTAAGGTCTGGAGACTGGCTAGGCCACTCCAGGACCTTAATGTGCTTCTTCTTGAGCCACTCTTCTTGAGCCACTCCTTTGTTGCCTTGGCCGTGTGTTTTGGGTCATTGTCATGCTGGAATACCCATCCACGACCCATTTTCAATGCCCTGGCTGAGGGAAGGAGGTTCTCACCCAAGATTTGACGGTACATGGCCCCGTCCATCGTCCCTTTGATGCAGTGAAGTTGTCCTGTCCCCTTAGCAGAAAAACACCCCCAAAGCATAATGTTTCCACCTCCATGTTTGACGGTGGGATGGTGTTCTTGGGGTCATAGGCAGCATTCCTCCTCCTCCAAACACGGCGAGTTGAGTTGATGCCAAAGAGCTCGATTTTGGTCTCATCTGACCACAACACTTTCACCCAGTTCTCCTCTGAATCATTCAGATGTTAATTGGCAAACTTCAGACGGGCCTGTATATGTGCTTTCTTGAGCAGGGGGACCTTGCGGGCGCTGCAGGATTTCAGTCCTTCACGGCGTAGTGTGTTACCAATTGTTTTCTTGGTGACTATGGTCCCAGCTGCCTTGAGATCATTGACAAGATCCTCCCGTGTAGTTCTGGGCTGATTCCTCACCGTTCTCATGATCATTGCAACTCCACGAGGTGAGATCTTGCATGGAGCCCCAGGCCGAGGGAGACTGACAGTTCTTTTGTGTTTCTTCCATTTGCGAATAATCGCACCAACTGTTGTCACCTTCTCACCAAGCTGCTTGGCGATGGTCTTGTAGCCCATTCCAGCCTTGAGTAGGTCTACAATCTTGTCCCTGACATCCTTGGAGAGCTCTTTGGTCTTGGCCATGGTGGTGAGTTTGGAATCTGATTGATTAATTGCTTCTGTGGACAGGTGTCTTTTATACAGGTAAAAAACTGAGATTAGGAGCACTCCCTTTAAGAGTGTGCTCCTAATCTCAGCTCGTTACCTGTATAAAAGACACCTGGGAGCCAGAAATCTTTCTGATTGAGAGGGGGTCAAATACTTATTTCCCTCATTAAAATGCAAATCAATTTATAACATTTTTGACATGCGTTTCTCTGGATTATTTTGTTGTTATTCTGTCTCTCACTGTTCAAATAAACCTACCATTAAAATTATAGACTGATCATTAGTTTGTCAGTGGGCAAACGTACAAAATCAGCAGGGGATCAAATACGTTTTCCCCTCACTGTATAAGCCAGGCAGTCACCCAATTCTTAGAGATTCCAACATTAGCCAGTAACAGCCACTATGGCTGTATAAATGGCTTAGCATCTCAATTAGGTTATAGGTTACTTGCGCATTAAGGCCACTAACAGTTTGTGTTCCCTCTATCTCGTTAAGTGTTGATAGTTTTACTCTGCGTGACACAAAACCCTATGTCTGCCTGTCAGACTTTTCCTGACACCTGTTCCTGATGACGCCTCCTATCCGACCTTTAGCCCTTTGATGAGGAAGCCGATGAGGTCACACAATATTGTCTAAGAATAAACAACTCTGATCCTCAAGTAAACAAACAAACAAGCTAATTATGGTATCACCCCAGGTGACCCCACTTGCTCTTAACTTCAAACAGCCAATGAAACAACATGTTACTCAGCAGACACAATAAAAGACAAAAGCTAAACAACATATGTTGGGTCAAATGCCCATTAAGGTGAAACCAGGTGAACACCATGACTAAAAAGGCTTCATATAAGTTATCCTAAAGTGGTTTCCTGTTAATGCTTTAGCCTCAGCCAATCCAATATATCTAGACTAACTGATTCTACAGCCATGGAGACCACTTTAGACAAGATTAACTAGGGCTAAATCCAGCTCCATGTGACTGAGTTTATTGTTGTTGTTGCTCACTTAATTTCACCCATATCCATATCTTGTCAGTGTGGCTGTCCATACATAGTCTGACACATTAACAAACATGTAAGTAATTACCTATAACAGACTAATATGGTATTTTGCCAACGCAACCTACAAATCACCACAGTATTCTGTTCCGATATATTAGGTTACCAAAACCTCAGAACATTCATTATACCATTCAAATTAATCCATTCCTGCTCATCAAGTGTCTATATTTAATTAGAAAGGAAAAGTTAGGCTAATCATAATGAGAAAAAAGATCTTCTCTTCTTGTCCTGACAACATCAAAGGTCGAAGTTTGATTCCACAGCTCATCTGGAGAGGGGCGTGCAGAATCCCAAAGTGGGTTTCAAATTAAGCCTCAACTAGGCTCCCATGGTCCGGCGCTGTGGAGAAGCGAGAGAAGACCAGGGGGAGGGAGGGAAGGAGAGAATGAGAGAAGGGAGAGGAGTGTAAAAGGAGTGAATGAGCCAGGCTCTTGTTCTCCACCCAGGGGAGCTGTGGCCTTAATTAGTGTGAGAAAATCGAATCTCGACATCCTCTCATCTTTACCCCTCACAAAGGTAATACGGAGGAGAAAAATTAGTCATGCCTTTTAACACATTTTAACGATTGGCTTCAAATTGCTGAGGGGATGTTGCTTTTTTAATGTGTTCATTAACTTCCACTAATCCTAAATAATATATGATACATGATTTGATATTTACAGGGAGGGAGGTTGCAAGCGCTTAGAGATGTGCGTGACAGGAATAAGTGATACAATACCATATACCGTACAGTAATACCATACAGTATATAACTATTGAGACTTGAGATGCCAATTTTCCAATGACATAAAAGTAGTTTCAACTTCATGAAATTCCACAATTAACGAATAACGGACGGCAACAGAAATCTGTTCATCTTCTTCTTGCTAAACCATAAGATAGGACTAACTGAATCCATACTAGACAGGTTTGGGGAGTGTCACTTAGTGACTACTGTGAGCCCAGCAGCACACCGTTACTGTTAGCTTCATCCAGCAATCTAACACTGCACTCATTTACATGGTCTTCACATCCCTGTCTCCTCTCAACCTGTTTTACAACCTGACCTAAACCCAATTACCTAACCTCATTATGCCACATTAAACCCAAATAAGCCCACTAGAAGCTGCCATTTGTCTGCCACCAGAGACAGGTTGGCCACACTTGGAGAGAGAAGCTTTCCTTGGAGACAAAAAGGAATGGCTGGCCCTTAAAAGGCTTTTTATCCCGTATTATCCTATAAAACCGCAATTAAATTCAGTGAACTCCTCAAACCAGAGAGTCGAGTAATGAGTAAACGCATTTTAAGGGGTTCTGTGTTCGCAAAATTACTCTGCCACTGTGCCAATGCTTGATATGAGTGTGGAAAAAGAGGAGTGTTGGCTCTTTGAACAGTCACATCAGTAATATGTTCAAGTCTAAATCATAGTGACATGTAAAACTTTGCAAATACTGTATAAAAATGTTATTTCTGTAAGTGCATTGATGGTTATGCTGTACACAAAACAAATAGTGCGGAAAGATGGAATTACTACAATAATACTTTAAAAAAGGTAGCTAAACTCATATTTATGACTATCTGCTTATTATACTACTTCAAACAAACACTTTTTTAAAGTAGTCTAATCATAATAAACTGATCTTTGAAACAAAAGGTTTGAAACAAAAGGCAGTGTGAACAGACAAAAAGGTGCACTCACTCCTTTCTGAACTCTCCTTTGGCTCTCTCTCAGACGTATGGAATCACAACTATTTCAGCAGAAAAGCAAAACCTTGTGTATACTTTTTAACCACTGGAAATGGCCTAAGCACATATCATCCATTGATTCATGTAAACCTATAGCATGAGTTACCTTCTTAATTGAAACTAGTGTTTTTCTCTGGCTCAGTGTCTTTGGCGCTCTGCTACATTGCACCTAATTCTAAATTAAAACCTGGGAGAGAGATTCTAGATACTGCCAGAGCAAAAGCAGAGTATCGCAGCCATCCGTGAGTCGTCTTAAAATCTGGCATGCCTGCCGACTGACAGCTTGGCTTTAATCCTTACCTTCAGAGAGAAAAGGGAGAGAAAATTTGATTCATGATGTGAAACATTTTAGCTTTTAAATGCATGAAATAAGCATCTCCCGCTAGAAGGTGAGCCGCGTCAAGCCTTTGAACAAGGCTCTCAAAGACCTTAGCGAAAACAATAGCTGTTCAGTATCACCTCATCTTACAAAGGGAGAGAGAAAGAGAAAGAAAGGGAGGAGATAGTGAGGGAAGGAGGCAGCCACAAACAAAAGATGATAAGATTAAGGTTATATGTGAAGATTTGTTCAAGCTCTTATCTGAAATTCAATGTCTCTGAGAGGAATTATAGGCAGGGTGTCTTTTAAATCCAACAAATTAAAAAAGACAAATTGTGGGTAATTATAACCAATGTATCTTGCACGTTTTACACAGACTTTATCCTTTTAGAAAAAGTCTAAGACACTAAATATAAACGAAACAAAGATCCTGCAGAATTGAAATCCAATAGGTACCACTGACTATTGCTGGTGACCATACTAGCAGCAAAATGTAAGTGGTAAAACTTGATATCAAATATTGCTGCTTCAGTTCATTGTGGCGAGAAGGGCCAAACGATGCTGGGCCAATTGTGCACCGCCCCATGGGTCTCCCGGTCGTGGCCGGCTACGACAGAGCCTGGATTCGAACCAGGATCTCTAGTGGCACAGCTTGCACTGTGATAGAGTGCCTTAGACCACTGCGCCACTCGGGAGGCCTTAGGTAAAACTTCATTATCGTCTAATACTACTTAAGTAAAACTTTATTATCTTCTAATACACATAATGCACATTTACAGAGAAATGTTCTTTAGGTTTTATAATGTTCTGCTATGCTCTATATCTAAAGAAGTTCAATAGCCTTCACTACATAGGATTTCAGGAGACAGAAATCTGAAAATAATATTTTTCAGTCTATTCTTTCTCTCTTTCTTTCTCCAACTGTCTTTTGGCAATTGGGGATTTGTCACCTTCAAAATCTCTTCTCTTCACAGAAAAAAAGCAAAAGCAGCTGCAAATGCATTTTTTTGTTATCGGTGTACCACTAATTTTCACCTGTTTCTCTAAGTAGGTAATAAAGGAATATTACATTCAAACTACCATGCAGTCGCCACGCAGTCGCCATCCTCCCAAAGAAAAACATATCTTGCAGACAGTGCCAGAAGAACCAATAGCATATAAACATCGCTGCATTCTCTGTCATTTCAGATGTGGCTTTGACCTCTGCCCTGAGAGAGCTGTTTTTATCTCCTCCTGAGGTCTGTGAAGGTAAATCCCTCTCGCACCATACCTTATCCCCTCAGGTACACCCCTCTGTCACCCAATACCCCCCAAAGAGCACACCTCCCTGCTCAGACCTGCTTCGAACCAAAGCAGCAATTATTTGAGTGGTGCCTTAAAAGGGCCAGAGGCGCTCACGGCGCCATTCAATTCTCTCATTTCTAATTCCCCCTGCCTCAGGACAGGTGAGGAGTAAGGGACCATGATAAGATCTTCCCTTTCTACCTGTAGCCAAAAAACACACACTAATAATCACACAAATAAACTCTCTCTCTCTCTCTCTCTCTCTCTCACACACACACACACACACACACACACACACACACACACACACACACACACACACACACACACACACACACACACACACACACACACACACACACACACACACACACACACACACACACACACACACACACACACACACACACACACACACACACACACACAGCCCTGGCACACCTGAGCTGTTTTCCTTTCTAATTATAGCATTTGAAAGAAATGTGTGGAATTTGCTTTTAGAGGAGTATGTGTTAAGAGAAGGGGTTGAATGCTTGGCGGTACGGTGGCCCGGTTGCTGGGGGACTTTGAGGTGAGGTGTTTTCTTTGGCCGTGGATGACTTCAGGCGCTAATTTGAAGGGAATAGTGATGCTGGGGCGATAGCAGAGAGCAGCACCATATAGCAGAGCAGAGCAGCATTCCTGGGCCAGACACAAAGAGACTTTGTCTCGGCGACCAAATGAAGATGGTGTTGTTTTAAAAAGCCCTGCAATAGCATAATTACTCTCTTCTCTAACATCCTCTAGGTTAATTGCGTTCAGACAGGGTGGAAGAAAGGACAGTGTGATCATTGATATCAAAGGGAGAAGAGTCAAGAGCACGGTGTTAAAGCTAGATAAAGGGACTTCCACAGATCGAACAGAAACTAAGTAAGAACACAATGATAATACATTTACTTTACAGAGCTGCTAGAACACAACGATCTCAGTAAAATTATAACAGGCTCAGAATTGGATTCTTTAGATTATCTCTCTCTTTGAAAAGCTAAAGATTCAAGTTTGAGGAAATATACTAGGCCTAGTCATAGACTACCTCCTCAAACATTCAAATAGGAGAAATAGATACGCTGCAAAGAGAACCCTAATTATACAATTTAGATGATGAACTACATTCCAACAGTGGCCATATCAATGGTTTTGAGAGACATCTAGAAACCTGAACACGTCATGCCATTCAGTTCACTAGGTCATCAGTCTAGCTGGCACCCCTTTCAACTGATTGCTCCAAAATGCACCAACAAGCACTTAAGAGCACGTAAACAGTGTCTCCATAATGATGTATCGCTACAAGTGGTTTGAGAGTAAAAATAGCCATTTACCACGGAATTATCATTTATCACTTGCACTGTCAAAGGGATCCAACTCCACTGTCAAGTAGATACAGGTAGCACTCTTCACACACCAAACTGAAGAGAAAAAAAACATATATCCTCTTATTCAGCAACCCAATCCCTCTATCCCCCAGGCTCCACAATGGCTTAGAAGACATACCTAGGTGACGATACATTCACCTTTTCCATTCTTGCCGGGGCCGTTTAAAAGCTTAAATGAGATATAGTAGATTTTAATCTACTCTTCACAGCCCATATATTTTGAGGTATGTAAAAGCAGAGAGGTACGCAACACCAGCCTACCAACACAATAGGGTTATTGACAGGTTTCATTAATGCGCTGTGCAATCAACTGTGCTCGCCGTTACTCAACTGCCAAGATCCCCTACTTCTCACTCCTCCTCCTCCCCACCTCCTCCCTTCTGATCAATGGCGTAGCGCAGCTTCGCGGATCCAAGCAAACCCCCCCCCCCCCCCCCCCCCCCCCATTCATTTTGATCTATCAAATAACTGATGGACACAGTCATATTTCAGTAGTGAAATTAGGTTTATTGGATTAACAGAAAATGTGCAATATGCATCAAAACGAAATTAGACAGGTGCATACATTTGGGCACCCAACAGAAAAATCACATCAATATTTAGTAGAGCCTCCTTTTGCTAAAATAACAGCCTCTAGACGCTTCCTATAGCCTCTAATGAGTGTCTGGATTCTGGATGAAGGTATTTTGGACCATTCCTCCTTACAAAACATCTCCACTTCAGATAGGTTTGATGGTTGCCGAGCATGGACAGCCCGCTTCAAATCATCCCACAGATTCTCAATGATATTCAGGTCTGGGGACTGGGATGGCCATTCCAGAACGTTGTACTTGTTCCTCTGCATAAATGCCCGGGTAGATTTTGAGCAGTGCTTTGGGTCGTTGTCTTGTTGAAATATCCAGCCCCGGCGTAACTTCAACTTTGTGACTGATTCTTCAACATTATTCCCAAGAATCTGCTGATATTGAGTGGAATCCATGCGACCCTCAACTTTAACAAGATTCCCAGTACCGGCACTGGCCACACAGCCCCACAGCATGATGGAACCCCCACCAAATTTTACTGTGGGTAGCAAGTGTTTTTCTTGGAATGCTGTGTTCTTTTGCCGCCATGCATAACGCCCCTTGTTATGACCAAATAACTCAATCTTTGTTTCATCAGTCCACAGCACCTTATTCCAAAATGAAGCTTGCTTGTCCAAATGTGCGTTTGCATACCTCAAGCTTCTTCCACATCACTCTCCCGTACAGCTTCTCCTTGTGCAAAGTGTGCTGAATTGTTGAACGATACACAGTGACACCATCTGCAGCAAGATGATGTTGTAAGTCTTTGGAGGTGGTCTGTGGGCTGTTTTTGACCGTTCTCACCATCCTTCGCCTTTGTCTCTCCGATATTTTACTTGGCCTGCCACTTCTGGCCTTAACAAGAACGGTGCCTGTGGTCTCCCATTTCCTCACTATTTTCCTCACAGTGGACACTGACAGCTTACATCTCTGCGATAGCTTTTTGTAGCCTTCCCCTAAACCATAATGTTGAACAATCTTTGTTTCAGGTCATTTGAGAGTTGTTTTGAGGCCCCCATGTTGCCACTCTTCAGAGGAGAGTCAAAGAGAACAACAACTTACAATTGGCCACCTTAAATACCTTTTCTCATGATTGGATGCACTTGTCTATGAAGTTCAAGGCTTAATGAGCTCACCAAACCAATTTTGTGTTCCATTTAATCAGTGCTAAGTAGTTACAGGTATTAAAATCAACAGAATGATAAGGGTGCCCACATTTTTGCATAGCCTATTTTTCACATCAGATATAATTTCATACAATTTAATATTGCTACACTAAAAATCTTTGTCTGGACAAAACCCCAGTACTCAGCTTTTATTAGAAAATGAATGGCATGCCATTGTGATCATTTTCTGTGATTAATTATTATGCAGCCTCAGAGGGGTGCCCAAACTTTTTCATACGACTGTATTTGTTTTAATATTACAAATGCAACTAACTGGATTTATGTCAACTCAGTCAGACACCATTTAAGGCATTTAATCTTTACAATTATTTTCCAACAAGTGTTTAAAGGCCTTGATTGTTTAATTTAATTTGTTTATTTTACCTTTATTTAACTAGGCAAGTCAGTTAAGAACAAATTCATATTTACAAACCGGACAACACTGGGCCAATTGTGCGCCACCTTATGGGACTCCCAATCACGGCCGGTTGTGATACAGGTTGGAATCGAACCAGGGTCTGTAGTGACGCCTCTAGCACTGAGATGCAGTGCCTTAGACCGCTGCGCCACTCGAGAGCCCATAATTTTAACATTAGATTATTGAAATATGTAATACAAATCTCCTAACTTCTTTTTGTTTTGTGTTATAGCACTATTAAATGCTCCAGGGCTAATTTATACTGAACAAAAATATATAAGCAACATGCAACAATTTCAACGATTTTACTGAGTTACAGTTCATATAAGGAAATCAGTCAATTGAAATAAATAAATTAGGCCCTATTCTATGGATTTCACATGACTGGGCTGGAGCATAGGCCCACCCACTTGGGAGCCAGGCCCTGCCAATCAGAATGAGTTTTTCCCCACAAAAGGGCTTTATTACAGACAGAAATACTCCTCAGTTTCATCAGCTGTCCGGGTGGCTGGTCTCAGATGATCCCGCAGGTGAAGAAGCCGGATGTGGAGGTCCTGGGCTGGCTTGGTTACACGTGGTCTGCGGTTGTGACTCCGGTTGGACATACTGCCAAATTCTCTAAAACGACGTTGGCTTATGGTAGAGAAATTAACATTCAATTCTCTGGCAACAGCTCTGGTTGACATTCCTGCAGTCAGCATGCCAATTGCCTGCTCCTTCAAAACTTGAGACATCTGTGGCATTGTGTTGTGTGACAAAACTGCACAATTTAGAGTGACCTTTTATTGTCCCCAGCACAAGGTGCACCTGTGTAATGATCATGCTGTTTAATCAGCTTCTTGATATGACACACCTGTCAGGTGGATGGATTATCTTGGCAAAAGAGAAATGTTCACTAACAGGGATGTAAACAAATTTGTGCACAATATTTTAGAGAAATAAGCTTTTTGTGCGTATGGAAAAATTCTGTGATCTTTTATTTCATCTCATGAAACATGGGACCAACACTTTACATGTTGCGTTTATATTTTTGTTTAGTATAGTTCACATTTTGGCATGTTTTTCTAGATTTAGAACATAAAGCAACATTTATAAAGCAAACATTATCCCTTAGGTCTAGCACAGCAAATACTTTACCCCTACCTAGATGTACAAATTACCTCGACTAACCTGTACCCTCGCACATTGACTCGGTACCGGTACCCCCTGTATATAGCCTCATTATTGTTATTTTATTGTGTCACTTTTTTTTTTTAACTTAACTCTATTTTCTTAAAACTGCATTGTTGGTTAAGGGCTTGTAAGTAAACATTTCACGGTATGGTCTACATCTGTTGTATTCCGCGAATGTGACAAATACAATTTGATTTGATTTGAATTGTGTAATCATATGTTGCAAAACAGTGTTTTTTTCCACCTTCAGAATATTGACAAAATAATTGTGACAGAGTTGACAAGCCACTGACAGAGTTGACAACAGATACTCAAAACAGACGTATTACTGCCTCTAAAAATAAAAGTTCAATACAAACATTTGTAAAAGATGGAAAATTATTCATGTGGAAATTAGCAATAAAAACAGAACCATCCTATCAGATCTTTCAGCACTCAATGGAGTTGATCTTAGACAAAAATCTGACGGAGTTGATGTTTTACAGAGTTGACAAAATGTTCATTTTTCTTCATAATTCAAGTGGCATATTTCTCAGTTGCTTTATGACTCTAAAACCTAAATAAATGTAACATAGTTGAACCAACATGCATATTCTATCTTAATCTATCAGGCAGATGGAGTTGACAGTTTACGGTTGAGACCATGGTGATTCCAATATTGTTTGTTTAAATCTATCAAAAGTAGAGAACTTGACGGACCATGGGGTGGTCAAATAATGCAACAACATTTATTTATTCTTTACTATAAAAATAGAGTTTCCCTGCCGGACAAGGATTGTCCCGACTTTCAAGAATCTCTGAGCTAATTTCCTGCTATTCTACACATTTTGCCATGAGGCTGAGAGAGAATTTTGCAGTTTTCAAGCTAATTCAAGCTAAATTATTTCATGGCTTATGACATGTTCATATGCTATCTGGGGGGCCTCCACTCCTTGCGGGGGCTACGGGGGTCAGAGCATGTGAGCAGAGTTGAGCTGTTGGAAATCCCGCTCATCGCTCATGGAGTGGTGCGCACCACTCCGGTCCTCCATGTCCTTTCCAACCACTCCGCAAAAAACCGCACTGCGCTCACAGAAGAAAAAAAACGCAGCTCCAAATTAGCTCCATTCATTAAAATCACAATTTAACCAACACCCATCTATTTTTGTGACTACCTGGACCTACCATTTGGATTTGAAGTATTGAAACCAAACCATATGGATTTGAATGAAAAGTATTTGAATAAACATGAAAAGGTGAATGTAAGAAGTGCACATCATTTCAAATAGGCTACATGTCATATTAAACAGCATATAAACACTCTAAATAGGTCAGGAGCCAGACAGGGAGCCTAATGAATTATTTAGGCTATATTATTTCAATTATTTCAAGGCTCTAGCCTACAAAGAAATACATTGTGAAGCATTTGTGAGTGCGACAATAGAATGGTAGGGACATAAAGCTCTCAGCATTTAAACAACATTTTGTTGTATTAAATCATTATAGTCTATAAATTGCACATATAGGCTGTGACTTACTTAGAATTAAATACAAATTAAACAAAAAATGACTTATTAGGGCCTTTGAATTCATTTTTAGAGTTCATTTTTAGAAACATGAGTTTGGCCAGTCTGTGGCTTCAGGCTCATGCGATGGTGCCTGTAGAGCCGGCCAGCAGCGGAGAACATCCTCTCCACACTTGCAGAGCCACTGGGGATGCTAAACACCCTTTTGGCCACTCTTGCCAGGTTTGGCAGAGATGCAGTTGTTTTTTTATTTTTCTTTAGGTAGGCCTAAAGGTTTTTAGGCAAAATAACCAAATCAAAACAGAAAGCTCCTTGAACGTGGGAATATGCCAGGCCTGTAGGGACAAAATCAATTATGGCCTATTGTATAGACAATAGAACGAAAATGAATGAAACCTTTAACAGATTTGATGTATAGTTTATTAATAGTTTGCTACAATGACACACTTAGCTAGCTACCCACCTCATTCCTTTCTGTTAGCATGTGAACGTAGTACACCATCGGGATACGTGTCTTTTCAGATTCCACAATAATTCTTTAGTTGTGGACACTACAACACCACACCCCCTCTCTTGCTGTTGGTCCTCATCTTTGTAAGTCACCTTGATTTAGCACCTGTGACTTTTATCAGTTTCTTTATGAAAATATTTAGTGAACTCCATGACAGTAGTTAAAGTAAGGGGCTATAGCAGCACACAAGTAGACTACAAATGCATGCTGGGACGGCGTGCCCTGAGCTGGTGAAGTGAGCGCTACTGGAGCGCTCTGGAGTGAAATTGGAGCAGGCGAGAAGGCCGACGCTCCAGCCTTTGGGAATCTCACTACGCGCTTCAGTCAAATTGGGCACTCTCCGCTCCTCGCTCCGCTCCAGCTCCGCTCACATACTCTGGCTAGGGGTGTGTGCAACGCCAGTGCATCTGCTTCTTATTTATCGATCTATTCATATTCCTCTCCACTGCTGCCTTCACCCCCTGGCACAAGTCTTAAGATCACAGCTAAAAAGCACAGATTGATGATTCGGGGCATTGCACATTACTCTCTCTCTCTGGTTATACCAACCCTCCCTCTACCTCCCCTCCCCACCCCAAACCTCAAACTCTCCCCACTCACAAACCCTCCTACTTAACCTGGACCTTTTGGAGTGAAAAAAGGGGTGAACATTAAGCCGACAATCAGAGATGGGCGAGGTTGGACTGCTCACCCGCTGCCCTGGAGAAAGAGAGACAAAGAGAGAGGAAGAGAGGGAGGGAGATCCACCAAAGGTAGCCACTTTGATAAGGAGGGTGTGGAGGTCACACAATATAATCTCGGAGAGCAGGGTCGCCTGGTCGCGAAGCCACAGGTAGGCCAGGGGCTGCAGACCCAGCCGTACACACCTGGGGGAAGAGGTGAGGCGGTATGGAGGGACTCAGTTGGTAGAGCATGGCACTTGCAACACCAAAGTTGTGGGTTCGATTCCCATGGGGGCCAGTATGAAAATGTATGCACTCACTACTGTAAGTCGCTCTAGATAAGAGCATCTGCTAAATGAATATTACAAATATTAAGATATAAAAGGGAGGGAGGGAGGGAGGGAAGGAGGGAGAGAAAAGAGGGTGAGGAGGTAGGTCAGACTGAAAACTTACAAGGATCACAAGAACTTCAAAGTGCATCGGGCACTTTAGCTAGTTTTGCAGGCAGGCTGCCACGTCGAGGCTCACATGGCACGTGCTCTGAACCGTCTCTGGTGCCAGTGGCTTTGTTCAGCAGATTCCGTTGAAGAGGGGGAATTAAACAGGGGGAATTATCTTAAGATGGCACACACTTTACGCTAGAGTTGTCTGTGTCACACACACAACACACACTTGCATACACAACACACTCATACACTTGCATGCACAAACACACTCACATAGGCAGTGTGCAGGTAACTGAAGCCAAAACTCTTGGGCGTACATGTCTGTGTCTCAGAGAACGCCTGCGGTGTGAGAGTGTGTGTGTGTTAAAGAGAGAGAGAGAGAGAGAGAGAGAGAGAGAGAGAGAGAGAGAGAGAGTGAGAGAGAGGTACTGTCATATAAACCCTTTCACCTGTATCCAGTGTTCAATGTCCTACTGTACATAAACATGTGGATATGTGTCCTGTCTGATGTGGTGTTACAACAATTGTATAACAATACATTGTATCCCATGACGTACGTAAGCCACTGGCCATTCTGGTAATAAAACTGTAAACATAAAAATACAGCGAGACTAAACATCATGGAGTAAACAAATGTACATCATCTTTGTTTGAAATACAGTGTCTCTCAAGCACATAGTTTTTCTGACAGAGGGCCATGTGCGTCAGTCTGAGATATTATAGGTAATGTGTGTTTGTGTGTGTGTGTGTGTGTGTGTGTGTGTGTGTGTGTGTGTGTTCTACTTACACCTTTTCCACCCGTACTCTCTGGTAGTCTGAGCGAATGGCCCCTACAGACACTGCCACGACAGCCTCCTTTTCCTGTGAATAGCAGAGAGGGAAGGAAACTTTTTGTTACTGTATACTGACATCACAACTGTTTCCTGTTCCGTCATATGAGTGTTTATTTTACCAAGTTACAGAGCCATGGTGATGTCTTGTCATTATCTAATTGGGCAAAAAGGTCACATAACCATCTAAATATCACTAAAAGAAAAAAATAGGAAACTATGCGATAAGGATGTCTATGAGCACACACACACACACACACACACACACACACACGAATACACACACACATGCACAGAGTCTGAGAAAACAGTGTTCTTTCCCTCCATCAGATAGGTGGGGATGGTCGTATCAAGGCTTTCCTGGTCCTGCACATCCCCTAGTGAAGGGGGTGGAGGATATAGGATGGAGCCTAACTCCTTGTCCTGGCTGGGCCTGGTTGGCTGGGCGTGTCTGGAGCCAGAGCAACAGAACAACAACACTAAAACTGGAGCAGCAGAGCCAGTCTGGTTCTTTTCAGTAGCCTTGTGTAAACTGGAGATGGGCCTGTCCCACCACACTGTAAGGTCCGGGACCATTACAAAGAGCGGAACTGAGCACAAACACACATACAAAACCCCTTTACAGAGAGGCAGAACTTTACCAGTCCACAGTGGTGTAAAGTACTGAAGTTAAAAAAACTTCAGTACAACTTAAGTCGTTTTTTTTGGTATCTGTACTTTACAATTTATATTTTTGACTACTTTTACTCCACTACATTCCTAAAGAAAATAATGTACTTTTTACTCCATACATTTTTCTTGACACCCAAAAGTACTCGTTACATTTTGAATGCTCAGGCAAGACAGCAATATGGTCCAATTCACACACCTATCAATATAACGCGCTGTCATCCCTACTGCCTCTGATCTGGCGGCCTCACTAAACACAAATCCTGCATTTGTAAATGTGCCTCAGGCTGTCCAAAAAATAAATGTAAAAAAGAACATTGTGCCACCTGGTTTGCTTAATATAAGGAATTTGATGTATAGCATTTACTTTTACTTTGTACTTTTACTCAAGTATGACAATTGAGTACTTTTTCCACCACTGTACTTAAGTACATTTAAAACCAGATACAAAAAATGTATTCAATCTCAGCTCATGAAATCACCAGACAGGCACAGAGCACACACACAAACCCTGCAGCTTCATTAGTACATTACATGGCCTGTAATTAGAATGAGGGGCCGGCCTCGGCAGCGGCGCGGTGGAGGGATGCACAAGTTGCCAGTAAATTACCTTGTAGACATTATCAATTTCCCAGGCAACTGGTCCTTAAGATAACCCCCCTTCTCCCTGTGGTCCTTCCAGCAATTTCTCTCTGCCTGATAAACATGCTGATTAAAGCGAGCGGCGTGTAAACCTTTGATACTTTTTAAAATGAAATCCATGCCCTGCCTGGGGCCTGACGCTGCTCCGCTCTGCTCAGCCGCCGCACTGCACAGAGCTCCATGCAGACGTGTCAGCTAATCAGATAAAGAATATAGCGTGTGTGTATGTGCCCCCGGGCAGAATGAGGGGACAAGGAGGGAGAGGCGAGGTGCACACTTAAACACACACAGGCAAACAGGGATAGGCTAGTACAGGGATAGGCAAGTACAGGAATAGGCTAGTACAGGGATAGGCTAGGCTAGTACAGGAATAGACTAGTACAGGAATAGGCTAGGCTAGTACAGGAATAGACTAGTACAGGAATAGACTAGTACAGGGATAGGCTAGGCTAGTACAGGAATAGACTAGTACAGGAATAGACTAGTACAGGGATAGGCTAGGCTAGTACAGGAATAGACTAGTACAGGAATAGACTAGTACAGGGATAGGCTAGGCTAGTACAGGAATATACTAGTACAGGAATAGACTAGTACAGGGATAGGCTAGGCTAGTACAGGAATAGACTAGTACAGGAATAGACTAGTACAGGGATAGGCTAGTACAGGGAAAGGCTAGTACAGGAATATACTAGTACAGGGATAGGCTAGTACAGGAATAGACTAGTACAGGGATAGTATAGTACAGGAATATACTAGTACAGGGATAGGCTAGTACAGGAATATACTAGTACAGGGATAGGCTAGTACAGGAATAGACTAGTACATGGATAGGATAGTACAGGAATAGACTAGTACAGGGATAGACTAGTACAGGGATAGGCTAGTACAGGAATATACTAGTACAGGGATAGGATAGTACAGGAATATACTAGTACAGGGATAGACTAGTACAGGGATAGGCTAGTACAGGAATAGACTAATACAGGGATAGGATCGTACAGGAATAGACTAGTACAGGGATAGGATCGTACAGGAATAGACTAGTACAGGGATAGACTAGTACAGGGATAGGCTAGTACAGGAATAGACTAGTACAGGGATAGGATAGTACAGGAATATACTAGTACAGGGATATACTAGTACAGGGATAGACTAGTACAATAGACTAGTACAGGAATAGACTAGTACAGGAATAGACTAGTACAGGGAAAGGCTAGTACAGGGATAGGATAGTACAGGAATAGACTACTACAGGGATAGGATAGTACAAGAATAGGCTAGTACAGGGATAGGATAGTACAGGAATAGACTAGTACAGGGATAGGATAGTACAGGAATAGACTAGTACAGGGACAGGCTTGGGTAGTACATGGACAGGCTAGGATAGTACAGGAATAGACTAGTACAGGGATAGGATAGTACAGGAATAGACTAGTACAGGGATAGGATAGTACAGGAATAGACTAGTACAGGGACAGGCTAGGATAGTACAGGAATAGGCAAGTACAGGGACAGGCTAGGGTAGTACAGGGGCAGGCTAGGGTAGTACAGGGACAGGCTAGGGTGGTACATGGGCAGGCTAGGGTAGTACAAGGGCAGGGTAGTACAGGGGCAGGCTAGGGTAGTACAGGGACAGGCTAGGGTAGTACAGGGACAGGCTAGGGTAGTACAGGGGCAGGCTAGGGTAGTACAGGGACAGGCTAGGGTAGTACAGGGGCAGGCTAGGGTAGTACAGGGACAGGCTAGGGTAGTACAGGGACAGGCTAGGGTAGTACAGGGGCAGGCTAGGGTAGTACAGGGGCAGGCTTGGGTAGTACAGGGACAGGCTAGTACAGGGATAGGCTAGCTCTGATGCTGGATTCTTTACTGTCTACTGAATGTCATCGCATTGTTGATTGGGCCCAAACACATACAAATATAGTTCAACAAGTCACTATAGTCAGTCTTAAATGCAAATGTACAATACAACTCAGTCTCTGGAAATTCAGAGTCCTGTGACAATAATTACTCCAGACTGATAACATTTCAGCACTGCACAGAGCCAAGAGGGCTGGAGGCACTGTCGTATAACTCTACGTAGGCTGCAGGGCTGTTAACTATTTTCTAATGATATGATAACCTTCACCCTCAAAAATACGTTCCTTCCTGAAGAGCCAAACGAAGCTTGAGAGTAAAAGAGAGAGACAGACCGACAGAGAGAGAGAAAGACGAAGAGAGAAAGGGAAATAGATAGATGGAACGAGAGGAAGAGAGAGTGAAAGATGGAGGAAGAGAAGAAGAGAGAGAAAGTAGAGGACGGGCCAGTCTCGGAGGGGTGTCTAACTAACTGTCGACAAAGTGATTGGGTCAATGAGCTGTAAACGTGGCAGGGCCAGACTTAGCCTGATTAAATAACACAGCATTACGCCTTCCCTTTCCCCTCTGTCCTTCAGGGAGCCAGAGGCAGACATAACGTTAAGAGTGGGGCCTCCGAGGCCTGAATCATCCAGTAACAATGAAGTGGGCCTGAGAGGGATAAGATAACTTTCTCACACCCCCTTTTTTTTAATGTACAATCTGTAGCTTTAAGTCTAGACCGCAAACAATAACGTATTAACTTTACTTATTTTTGGATGACGTTTTGGTTTTGTCACCATTATATCTATTGTTGAGACTGCCAGGAATGAGAGTGGGCTAGAGTTGCTCTGGACAAACTGAATGACTTGGATTTCACAAATTCTAGACATACTTTCTCATCCGCTGTGGGAAAGCAGGGCAGGCAGTGGGAATAATGGTGAGGCGGGTGTAAATTCATACACTACCAGTCAAAAGTTTGGACACACCTACTCATTTTTTACATTGTAGAATAATAGTGAAGACATCAAAACTATGAAATAACACATATGGAATCATTTAGTAACCAAAAAAGTGTTAAACAAATCAAAATATATTTTATATTTGAGATTCTTCAAATAGCCACCCTTTGCCTTGATGAAAGCTTTGCACACTCTTGGCATTCTCTCAACCAGCTTCATGAGGTAGTCACCTGGAATGCATTTCAATTAACAGGTGTGCCATTTTAAAAGTTAATTTGTGGAATTTATTTCCTTCTTAATGCGTTTGAGCCAATCAGTTGTGTTGTGACAAGGTAGGGGTGGTATACAGAAGATAGCCCTATTTGATAAAATACCAAGTCCATATTATGGCAAGAACAGCTCAAATAACCAAAGAGAAATAACAGTCCATCATTACGGAAAATGTATTTGAAAGTTTCTTCAAGTGCAGATACAAAAACCATCAAAAGCTATGATGAAACTGGCTCGGATGAGGACTGCCACAGGAATGGAAGACCCAGAGTTACCTCTGATGCAGAGGATAAGTTGATTAGAGTTACCAGCCTCAGAAATTGCAGCCCAAATAAATGCTTCACAGATTTCAAGTAACAGACACATCTCAACATCAACTGTTCAGAGGGGACTGCAAAGAAACCACTACTAAAAGGACACCAATAAGAAGAAGAGACCTGCTTGGGCCAAGAAACACGAGCAATGGACATTAGACCGGCGGAAATGTATCCTTTGGTCTGGAGTCCAAATTTGAGATTTTTGGTTCAAACCACTGTGTGTTTGTGAGACGTGGTGTGGGTGAACGGATGATCTCCGCATGTGTAGTTCCCACCATAAAGCATGGAGGTGGAGGTGTTATGGTGTGGGGGTGCTTTGCTGGTGACACTGTCTGTGATTTATTTAGAATTCAAGGCACACTTAACCAGCATGGCTACCACAGCATTCTGCAGCGATACGCCATCCCATCTGGTTTGGGCTTAGTGGGACTATCATTTGTTTTTCAACAGGACAATGACCCAACACACCTCCAGGCTGTGTAAGGGCTATTTTACCAAGAAGGAGAGTGATGGAGTGCTGCATCAGATGACCTGGCCTCCACAATTCCCTGACCTCAACCCAATTGAGATGGTTTGGGATGAGTCCGACGGCAGAATGAAGGAAAAGCAGCCAACAAGTGCTCAGCATATGTGGGAACTCCTTCAAGACTGTTGGAAAAGCATTAGAGTGTACAAAGCTGTCATCAAGGCAACGGGTGGCTATTTGAAGAATCTCAAATATAAAATATATTTTGATTTGTTTAACACTTTTTTGGTTACTCCATGATTCCATATGTGTTATTTCATAGTTTTGATGTCTTCACTATTATTCTACAATGTAAAAAATAATACAAATAAAGAAAAACCCTTGAATGAGTAGGTGTGTCCAAACTTGTGACTGGTACTGTAAATCTACAGAGATGGATATTGCAGAAGTGTTCCATGTATTCATGACACTATAAAAACACAAACTTTGATTTTATGCTGCTTGAAATATTTATCTAAATGTTTTATAGTTATACCTGAAAAAGAGTGAGATGGATCATGAACTACATTGGGGGGAAAAAGTATTTAGTCAGCCACCAATTGTGCAAGTTCTCCCACTTAAAAAGATGAGAGAGGCCTGTAATTCTCATCATAGGTACACGTCAACTATGACAGACAAAATGAAAAAAATTTTCTTCAGAAAATCACATTGTAGGATTTTTAATGAATTTATTTGCAAATTATGGTGGAAAATAAGTATTTGGTCACCTACAAACAAGCAAGATTTCTGGCTCTCACAGACCTGTAACTTCTTCTTTAAGAGGCTCCTCTGTCCTCCACTCGTTACCTGTATTAATGGCACCTGTTTGAACTTGTTATCAGTATAAAAGACACCTGTCCACAACCTCAAACAGTCACACTCCAAACTCCACTATGGCCAAGACCAAAGAGCTGTCAAAGGACACCAGAAACAAAATTGTAGACCTGCACCAGGCTGGGAAGACTGAATCTGCAATAGGTAAGCAGCTTGGTTTGAAGAAATCAACTGTGGGAGCAATTATTAGGAAATGGAAGACATACAAGACCACTGATAATCTCCCTCGATCTGGGGCTCCACGCAAGATCTCACCCCGTGGGGTCAAAATGATCACAAGAACGGTGAGCAAAAATCCCAGAACCACACGGGGGGACCTAGTGAATGACCTGCAGACAGCTGGGACCAAAGTAACAAAGCCTACCATCAGTAACACACTACGCCGCCAGGGACTCAAATCCTGCAGTGCCAGACGTGTCCCCCTGCTTAAGCCAGTACATGTCCAGGCCCGTCTGAAGTTTGCTAGAGTGCATTTGGATGATCCAGAAGAGGATTGGGAGAATGTCATATGGTCAGATGAAACCAAAATAGAACTTTTTGGTAAAAACTCAACTCGTCGTGTTTGGAGGACAAAGAATGCTGAGTTGCATCCAAAGAACACCATACCTACTGTGAAGCATGGGGGTGGAAACATCATGCTTTGGGGCTGTTTTTCTGCAAAGGGACCAGGACGACTGATCCGTGTAAAGGAAAAAATTAATGGGGCCATGTATCGTGAGATTTTGAGTGAAAACCTCCTTCCATCAGCAAGGGCATTGAAGATGAAACGTGGCTGGGTCTTTCAGCATGACAATGATCCCAAACACACCGCCCGGGCAACGAAGGAGTGGCTTCGTAAGATGCATTTCAAGGTCCTGGAGTGGCCTAGCCAGTCTCCAGATCTCAACCCCATAGAAAATCTTTGAAGGGAGTTGAAAGTCCGTGTTGCCCAGCGACAGCCCCAAAACATCACTGCTCTAGAGGAGATCTGCATGGAGGAATGGGCCAAAATACCAGCAACAGTGTGTGAAAACCTTGTGAAGACTTACAGAAAACGTTTGACCTGTGTCATTGCCAACAAAGGGTATATAACAAAGTATTGAGAAACTTTTGTTATTGACCAAATACTTATTTTCCACTCTAATTTGCAAATAAATTCATTAAAAATTATACAATGTGATTTTCTGATTTTTTTTTCTTCTCATTTTGTCTGTCATAGTTGACGTGTACCTATGATGAAAATTACAGGCCTCTCTCATCTTTTTAAGTGGGAGAACTTGCACAATTGGTGGCTGACTAAATACTTTTTTTCCCCACTGTATATGTTCGATAAAAACTTGGGTGATATCTGGCTGAAGGATGTTTGGATTGTCGTGAGAAAATATGATAATGGCACTATAAATCACAGCATTTTAGCAGAAACAATATGCCTATCCTACTATTAGCAAGATAATTCAATAACTCTATCGTGACTAGCAAATCATATAGCCAATACAATTAATACACATTTCGTTAATATGACTTATTGAGAATGAGGCCTTTGGGTACTCTGCTTATTCTGAAAATCTAACTACAATGACACCATATTTTTGTGACCTCAGACTGTTACCAGAATGCTCTCTGTTTGTCCTCCATGACTGTTGGCACACTGAAGGACCCCAAGGAGCCCCATCAGGGGCAGACTAAACAAAAGCCTGTTTCCCCCCTCTAGCCTAGCTGTAGTCGTCAGGAAACTAAAGGCATTAATGAGGATCTATGGCTTGGAGCACGGCCCTCTCCGGCCCACAGCCATGTCCATCAGGGTACTTAGCCCCATACAATCATTAACTTCTGTTACTAATTGTCGAATTCATTAAAAGGAAACCTCCCCCCAAACGTCCCTCATGAAAATGGATGGACTGGGCTGAATTATAAAGATGTCAGGGCTCAGAAGATTAAGGCTCCCAGACATGCTCCACAAAAAAAACGATACGGCCATTAAACTCTATTTCAAGGTAGCTTTTGATATACTTTGTAATTATATATACATACGTCTTGGTAGGACCATCCGAGTGTAATTCAAGTGTATTCACTGGCCCTCCTGTAGCTCAGTTGGTAGAGCATGGCGCTTGCAACGCAAGGGTTGTGGGTTCGTTTCCCACGGGGGGTCAGTATGAAAAATGTATGCACTCACTAATTGGAAGTCGCTCTGGATACTAAAATGTAAAAAAAAAAATGTTTAAAAAATTTCTAAGCCATAGTTAGGCCTATAGCCTCAGTGCAGGTAGAGATAAGATGATAGGACACAGAGGCAAGCCTGTCATGTAGCACGATGTTGCTCTACTTCTTCTACTTAAATAAAATGCTTGACGATTCAACCCTTTTCTCAATTCTTAGCCATATTCATAAAAATTTTGCATCAATATTGCCAGACCAACTTTTATCCAAAATTCTGTATGTAGTGTCTTAACATGAATAGAGTTTAATAGTGCTGCAAAACCAATTTCCCCTTAAAGATAATGAAGTTTGCTACTACCACTACTAAGAATCAATTATTAAAATAAAATTATATATAAATTATATTATATATAAATTCAAGCATAAAATGCATGAGAAAGTGTGGAACTCGATTGAAACTATAAAGCATTACCACTTACAAAGTGAAAGCTGATTCTGTAAGGGCAGTATTTTACTGAACATCAAACAGGCCATACATTTTCATCTTAGATTTTAAATAGGGTATTTTATGTTATCCATCATATCACTCCATCTGTATTCATATTTAATAGACCAAAGTAATTAATAGAAAACAAGGCAATTAGGAAGCTATACAATTTCAAAATGTGATATTCATAGATTCATTAAGTACATCAGAACGCTCATTAAATGATTGCGTAGATTGTCAAAACGAAGTCTTTATGACATACTCAAAACTCCAGAGAGATGTTTTCCTGAATTAATCCAAAGGTCCCGTGTCCTCTGATTCAGACTATTAGCCAATTAACCATAGTAACTATCGTAAAATAATTACCTGATATTCCCCCCCAAAAATGTAACCTGTTCTAATACCATATAGAAGCAGATATTTACACTGTCTTTTCTCCTGGCTCATGGTGTTTACGTGCCTTCCTGCACGTTAGTGTTACTTCCCCGGCCTCATAGCATGACTAGGAAGGAAGACAGGCCTGAGAAATTAATTAAAGTGCCTTGAATGACAGTTTGCTCAAGGGCACACGGTACCATCACGAGCCCTGGCGTGTCCTTGTTGTCCAACACTCCCTCCATCCCTTCCTACCCCCCGCCACTTACCCCTCCCGTCCCTACCCTACCGGTACTATCCCACTCCCCTCCCTTCCCTTCCTACCCCCCACTACCTCCCTCCCTTCCTACCCCTCTATCCCACTCCCTCCCTCCCTTCCTACCCCCCACTACCTCCCTCCCTTCCTACCCCTCTATCCCACTCCCTCCCTCCCTTCCTACCCCTCTCATCCCACTCCCTCCCTCCCTTCCTACACCCCCTCTATCCCACTCCCTCCCTCCCTTCCTACCGCCCTCCCTTCCTACCACCTTCCTACCCCTCTATCCCACTACCTCGCTTCCTTCCTATCCCTCTATCCCACTCCCTCCCTTCCTTCCTATCCCTCTATCCCACTCCCTCCCTTCCTTCCTACCCCTCTATCCCACTCTCTCCCTTCCTTCCTACCCCTCTATCCCACTACCTCCCTTCCTTCCTACCCCTCTATCCCACTCCCTCCCTTCCTTCCTACCCCTCTATCCCACTCCCTCCCTTCCTTCCTATCCCACTCCCTCCCTTCCTTCCTACCCTTCTATCCCCCCCCCTCCCCCTCCCCCTCCTGGTTCCCTCAGTGAGTGACTGGACGCGACATGGTTTTAATGGCCCAGGCTCCATTATATCAGCTCTGCTCTGGGCCTGTTTTAATGTAATGGGATTGTTCTCCCGTGCTCCACTACACATGGGTAACATGGGGGTCCCTGTCCCTCTTCTGTTATGACTATGTGTGCTGTGCTGGGGGTCTAGGTGTAAAGCGTGTAGTTCAAGCAATTTGTGCCTAATACAATTTGGGACAACACTCCAAGGGCCTTGTTGTGGGTAGCCTATGTTCAGACACCTCTGTGGTCCTAGACTTGACAGTCACAGGAGCCTTCCAGTGGCATGGGGGAAATTGCTGTGCTGTTTATTTGTGTTATCAGCATCATTACCATTCCTTTCCTGCACAACCCCAGCTATGCTATTCCAAGGTGACCTAGCTACAGTCCTCTCTGGGTTGTGAAGGAGGTGTGGAGCAGCAGCAGTTTGGGTAAAAGTGTAAAGCAGTGGACTGTAACACCATAGGTCAGGTGGTTCAGCACTGGGCCAGACACTATTAAACCAATACGTGCATGGAAGAGTAAACTCTTGACCCTGATTTGGGTGTATACCAACATTCTAAAAGTTAATAACAACCACAAAATGTGTGGTGGTGAGGATCATCATCACAAATGTGGGCAAAAGAAACAACAACAACTAAAAAGCTGAAATTGGGAATGTAGTTATGTGAATGTCTTTGCAAAAACATACTCAAAACTAAAACCTTTTTATTGGTTTCAGACTCAGAGATGTTCCCTTTGGTAAATTGGAGAAGCTGGTTGTTAGAAGCAGCTGTTGACAGACAGGCCCTTCCTATTTGGTCCTGGTTGGGCTCCCTCCATGACTCACAATATGTCACTCCTCAACAGTAAAGAAAATAACAGATGAAAAAAACAAGATGTTCATAAAGGCGTCGGCGTGTATACTGTCCCAGGGATGATGCGAGACAGAGTGAGTCAGTGAGTTTTATAAGAGGGGAACTATGGTCCTCAGAGAGGCCTCTATTGCCAGGTGTGGTCTGACCAGAGGGATATTACATCACCCATTGTCTCGTCAGTGTCACCATGATGAGTGACGCTTATCACCCTCGGAACGATGACGACTGACACAACCAAACTGTTCTGGGCTGGATTCTGGAGGAAAAGAAGACGCAACACTTTACTTTCAACATTTCCCCACTGAGGTATTTGTAGAAAGGGGGAGATTTTTATAGGGCCATTTCAGTTTGTTTCTGTTGAGTCTTCTAGCCTGCAGTGTACAACACACACACACAAGCAGTGCATGCACTCACTGTGATTCATTTACAGTGACAGAGCTGTTTTCACCGATAGAGCCGGCGCATAAATATGCCACACCGCACAGCTGGAAAATGTAGAAATTCATTAGGGCTAAAAAGTAGAGAGATTAACGTTTCACAAGTTTCCTCTTAAATATATATGGTTGCTTAAACAGAGGCCCAGACGTCAGACAGCAAGGCAAGCAGAGAGGCAGAGGGTCCGAGCCAAACCAAGCACAAAGCCTTGGTTTCAGCAGTAAGCAGGGCCAAGAAGGGTACTTTCCATAGCAACATGTATGGAAAACCAACTAACCGCTGGGAAGCAGTGAAAAGGAAAAGGTAGAGGAGTTTATCCACCCTTTTTCATGAATGCTGGCAATTCAGGAATAAAACCCTTTTCATTATCATCCTATGGGTAGATCTATATCGTTGTCCACCAGTCCTGTTTTCTTATGTAGTCAATATGGAGTCAATGTGGTCCTATATGGCTCAGTTGGTAGAGCATGGCACTTGCACCGCCAGGGTAGTTGGTTCGATTCCAGGGCCAACCATACGTAAAATGTATGCATGCATGACTAAGTCGCTTTGGATAAAAACGTCTGCTAAATGGCATATTCACTACATGACCAAACGTATGTGGAAACCTGCTCGTCGAACATCTCATTCCAAAATCATGGGCATTAACATGGAGTTGGTCCTCCCTTTGCTGGTATAACAGCCTCCACTTCTGGGAAGGCTTTCCACTAGATGTTGGAACCTTGCTGCAGGGACTTGCTTCCAATCAGCCACAATAGCATTAGTGAGGTCGGTTACTGATGTTGGCCGATTGTTCCAATTCATCTCAAAGGTGTTCGATGGAGTTGAGGTCAGGTCTCTGTGCAGGCCAGTCAAGTTCTTCCACACCGATCTCGACAAACCATTTCTGTTGCCACAAAGTTGGAAGCACATAATCGTCTAGAATGTCATTGTATGCTGTAGCGTTAAGATTTCCCTTCACTAAAACTAAGGGGCCTAGCCCGAACCATGAAAAACAGCCCCAGACTGTTATTCCTCCTACACCAAACTTTACAGTTGGCACTATGCATTCGGGGAGGTAGCGTGCTCCTGGCATCCGCCAAACCTAGATTCGTCCATCGGACTGCCAGATGGTGAAGCGTGATTCATCACTCCAGAGAACAAGTTTCCACTGCTCCAGAGTCCAATGGTGGGGAACTTTACAGCAGCCAACGCTTGTCATTGCGCATGGTGATCTTTGGCTTGTGTGCGGCTGCTCGACCATGGAAACCCATTTCATGAAGCTCCAGACGAACAGTTATTGTGCTGTAGTTGCTTCCAGAGGCAGTTTGGAACTCGGTAGTGAATGTTGCAACCAAGGACAGACGATTCTTACGCGCTACGCTCTTCAGCACTCGGCGGTCCCGTTCTGAGCTTGTGTCGCCTACCACTTCACACCTGTCAGCAACAGGTGTGGCTGAAATAGCCGAATCCACTAATTTCAAGGGGTGTCCACATGCTTTTTTTATATATAGTGTATTATCTATTATTATTATATTAATATGGAGCCATTTCAGGTCAAAACACAGGATATGTTGCAACCTGTTCCAGACAGCCTGCATCTACATCTGCAACTTCCAGAAAAAATCAGGACACAATGCCCTGATAAAATGCCTGACATGACTCTCCTTTCCTCTCCGTAGGGCATAAAACAAACTTGAATCCTCTCTCTGTCACTGAAACATTATCAGTTGGCTGGGGTGAGGTGGGACTGTCTGAGACAGGGGAAGCTTCCAGCCAAGGCGATTGGAGGATTCATAAGGAATCATCATGCACCACGGAAACCGGTGTCAGTCACTTTTCCCGCTCCACAACAAGCCCTCACGCTCTCCTCTCTGTCCGGCTCCTCTCCAAGATGCAAATGCTTTCCTGCTGAGGTCAGGATCCAACCAAGCATATTGGCAACACTTGGTTCTCACTTCACGTTCTGGGCCTCAGACATCGTGGTAGCCTCCCCCAGAAAGATGGGGAAAATATGGCTGTGATGCAGGTTTTATACTCTCCAGACTCCAGACAGTGTTTTCTTCATCGGGTTATGGCTTTAGCTGCAGGAGGCACGGGGGCTGCCACAAATATTTCTCTCAGGGAATGCTTTGCAAAACAAAACATTAAAGTCGAAGTCTGCTTAATTTTCGGAGAGATGGTTGGTGGGAGTTGACTGACTGAGCGCTATGCCTCAGCCATCCGGTCGGTCAGACGTGAGTGAGGGGGGAAAGGCAGACAGAGACGCTTTTGGGTCTGACTGACAACAGGCAGCTATAAAAAGGTGAATGACTTCTTCACAACGGGGTGCTCTAAGAGCGCTCTGGGCTAAGGAGCCTCAGAGTGTTTTTGTATCTGTGTGAAACGGCTGTAGTGTTTGGATGGTCTCCGTCTTTGTTCCAATTACTTTTCATTATTAACTTATTAACCCAGAATTCTCTTTAAGTTGATGAAATGGCTGAGAATGGATAATGAAGCAATAAGGGGCAGATTTATGCTTATGGCACATTACTTTTCACATGGGTGATGACCTATTATTTTATCAGTGGCTCTCAGTGGAAAACTGGAAAAGGGGTAGTAGAAAAAGCTACAGAAAATGATAAACTCAGACTCCTTGTGGTTTAATGATTCAAACATCTCAGAAACCATGTGTGAGTCACTCACATAGTCTACACACACACTATCCATGAAAGTAAGTGTTGCATCCACTCTTAAACAGAGTGCCCAAAATAAAATATTAGCTGAACCTAGTCCCAAGCAATCTGATGCAAATAACTCTACAATCAATCTCGTGGCCAGGAAAAAAGATATCTCCATTTGGAACAACGTTCACCTAACCAGCTTGCCCTTGGCAAGCCAAGATAAGGCTATCTGTTTCCATCATCACTAAACAAGACTGAGCAAAGTACATTAAGCAGAAAAATAGAAACAAATTACAAAGGCTTCAGGCTAGGCTCTTTATCTAATGTTTGTGTGGGACTGACATGTTCCGTTAGTTATGTCGGTTGGGTCTGAGGGAAATGTGCCTGGTTCTAATAGATCCTGTCCTGCCACTTCCACAAAGGGGTGAGAACAATACAGGCAGGCATTATCTCAGCGGTAATGCTATCCTTCCTCGTGTGCAAAACAACCCACAATCTCACCCCACTGACTGTCACTGTTCCCTCCGACCAACACAAATATGAGCAGTCAGTCTGACCAAAATAAAATATAACAATAGGCCCTTTTCACGATGACGTCATCTAACTTCCGCCTTTCCGCGTAGCAGGTTAACTTCACTTCCGTTCGCCCGTAACCTGAGACTTCTCAACGAAAATACAACTGTTGACCACTAACTAGCAAGCTAGCTACTTGAAGAAATTCCAAAAGGTACGTTTAAGTTAAATTAGTAAAGTTAAGAGTAATAATGTTTACGTATATGCAATGGTTTGTAACTTGCTAACGTTATTGTTAATTCATAATTGTTCACTGCCTTAGTTACTTAAAAGTGGGCTAACGTTAGCTAACAACAACTTAGTACCAGATACCGATAACGTTAAAAGGTAGCGTTACATTGCTGCCTGGCTGTAATGTAACAAGTTTACTTAGCTAGCTATCTAACCCTTTGTTAGGCAGTTAGTTTATTCATGAATGTATAGTAACTCACCTATTCAAATACTGTTGTGCATGATAGCTAGATAAATATTGATTCCTGGTCAAAGCTGAATGTTAATTTAGCTGTTTCTTTTCTCCCGGTGTCTGTATCGCAACAGTATCCCATCCAACACCGAAGCATGGCACAATCTTCGAGAAGATGCTATTGCAGTGTACCATTTTGTTCAAACAACAAACAGAAATTCCCGTATCTGAGTTTTCACGATTTCCCTGTTGATGGAGAAATACGTGCCCGTTGGGTGAGGGCGATCAGGAGAGATGAGGGACCAAGTTTTAAGATTCTTTGTGGGAGCACCTTTGTTTGCAGTCAGCACTTTCCCCCTGAGGATAGATACACATCGGCCAGTGGACGGATCCGTATTAAACAGGGATCAGTGCCGTCTAGATTCCACTGGAATGATTGGGGTAAGGATAGGTAGACAGCGTTAAACGTAATACTACTGTAATCCAATAATATATTACTTGTACAAAATGTTTAATAATTTAATCCTGATGCAATATAGCTGCTACATTTTGTCATTTTAGGGACTGAAAAGTGATTACCAAAATGTATCATTTTGTCGTATTGGTGGCAGATGTGAAAGGGACTGGGTGAACTCCATAATGATGTGCTACTAGCTAAGCGTTCCTAAGCGACACCGGATGTAAACATAACCTGCATCGCGGCAGAACGGAAGTTGTCTGACGTCACGTGAAAAGGGCCTATGGGCTATTACAGCTAGAAGTAGACCCAGGCAGTGAGTGTATGACTTTACTGTAGTTTAAAGAATCTAGGCTATGCTACTAGCCTCATTAGAAGAACATGAGACAAGCTAGATTACACACAGCCAGCCTTCACTTGTCCTGAAAATGCATGAAACTAATTGGAATATCTCAATTGATAATAGGTACAAGACGCTCACATTGGCCTTCTTATTGATCCTATCTCATAAAGCCTCTCGGTGACCTCATCGGTCATGATTTATGTATTAAGCAGCTTTTTAAAGAAATCAATTTTCTTTGAGCCCCCACATGCCTAACGTCCAACATGCCTAACACGGCACAATGCCGGTAATCAGAGTAGGGGTGTGTTTGATTTTCTCCCCTCACAACACACCGCTGTGCTGTGTAGCAACTGATTCCCAACACCTCATCCCCCTGATCAATAACACAGGGCTCCAGGTTCAACACCAGACTCCTCTGCCTGTTCTATCCTTCTTTCCTCTCCTCTCTTCTACACCTCACAGCATGACCCCTCTATTACAGCACCTGCAGCAACGCAACACCAGTCTTCTAAAGGATTCTAAAAAAGCAGTGACGACAACACAATACAGGCCCAATATGAAGAGAAGAAGAAAGAGAGAGATGGGGGAAAGAAAGAATGTTTGGACTTGTGGACGGATGGTCGACTCCCCCTCTCCAATCTCGGAGGGCCACAGCCCAGTCTGCTGCTGTCGATAATGGAGTGGGGGGGTGAGGCTGGGGATGGAGAGAGAGTGTGTCTGTGTGTTATCTCGCAAAAAATGTGGTGTTTTAACACGGACCAATGGAAGGGAATATTTGAACATCTACAAAGTTCAAAGAACTGGCGGCCTGGCGCTCTCCAATATTTTTCCGTGACACAACGTGAAAAAAAAGAAAATAATTTGGCTTGATAAAAAAAATAACAAATAAATGAGTTCAGGGTGTAGTAGCCCTGGGGTAGGCTATTACTCAGTTATCGAAATAACGATGTTTGAAACCACTGTGTTCCTGAAAAGTCTGATTAATTACATGGTAGGAATAGGATCTGAATGTAACATTTCCATCCTCCACAGAGCAAGGGAAGGAATGTGACAGAAATGTCAAGTTGCTGCTAATTAGACGTTTCATAATGAAAAGCCTAGATATTAATATAATCTATTGTTCCCTATCAGCCTAATGAGATGGAACCTTTTGTCTTTACTGCTCAGTTGAGAGGTTGTAGGAACATTGAACTGCAGTTGACATCTTTCTATTTGTATTCAAGTTCCTAAAGTTTTTTCCCCTCTACTTACTAGTGGAGACACCAATTCTGCTTTAAATGTGCTGTCAAGAGTACTAACATAAAAAACAGTGAAAGAGTAACACATTTTACAATTATATAATTTTTTTAATAGACATTGCATTTTTATTGCTAAAAAAGTCCACAGTTTAAATAATTATCTAGTTGCAAGGGGATTGAGGGAAAATAGTCTTCTTTCCTGTAAAGGGGAATTTTGAACATGAATTAGAGATAGGAGCTGATGCGTATAGCACCATGTGTGGAGGAGGAAGATAGAAACGTGTATCATGTAACCTAGGGCCTCTGACCTGACCTTCAAGGCACAGTCACACATTCACATTCTCTCTCGCTCTCTCTCTCTCGCTCTCTCTCTCTCGGCATAAAGAGCCAGGGTGTCAGGTCAGAGCCGCAAAGAGGGGATGAAGAACTTGAGGGATGTAAGATGACTAATATAAACCTTTGCCCAGGCCTGTGGGATGAAGTGGGGGCAGGCGTTTCAGCCAGGGGTGACTGACACTGCTGATCTAAATAACCAAGCTAGCCACCCTCCGCAGCATGTATAGTATTGACGTACAGGACAGGAGGACAGGGGGAGGTGAGGCCAGGGCAACAGCTCAATGAGCACACAAATAAATAGATAATAATCCAAACTTTATCTAAATGTATGTTATTAATGTAGACGTTAGTCCTGCTGTATGATCCATCCATTTTCTGGAAGAGAATATCACTGAAAAAGGGATAGAAGCATCATGAATGCATTTCACAAGTTATGGATTTGACATGTTTAGTGGTAAACTGAGGAGACGTTTTCCCATCAAAACGATTTCCTCTCAAAACATTGAATCCCTCATATGGTGAGATATGAGATAGAGAGTGACATGCTGACATTCAATCGGTGGTCTGATTTATGAGGCATAATGCTAGGCAGGACAGGGGATGAGGAGCCATCAGATATGTGGGCATCAGACTGCTTTACAATCAGCACACACACACATACAGAGATAGAGACACTGAGGACGGAGTGAAAGATCCCCTCCGCCTCTGACAAAACAGTTATTTCTCCCCCTCAAAGGCCAGGTTCAAAGATCAGAGCCATCGCAGGATGGGCCGGGGTATGCTATGGCTCGCGTGTCTATCGGGTTACACACTTCACAGAGAGAAGGCCATTCACAGATGCCCATGGGGTTGATTATCACCACTGTTGGGACTGGGGAGGGGGGGGTATTATAATTGGGAATTTTTTCCCCATTGACAATGGTTCCACTGAAAATTATCCCACCTTTTGATTCTGAATGGTACTACAT